AACTTGCTCCCTCGCCGACAACAAGAAATTCTACTTTATAGGAATTCCAGACTGGAGCTCTATTGTTTGGCAGCTTTGTGGTATTGGCAATGGCGTCAGAATCGTTTACATACTTTTTGCCATCGGCCAGAGGACGGCGGGGACAAACTATGCTGATGGAGCTCGCAAATGGAAATCGTAGTGCCTTGTTGATTTGCTTTTAATTTTGCATAAATATGCGCGATTCTGGAGGCGGGGATCCGGTGAATGAGGGGATGCTGCTGTTGGTTGTCAGTTGCAGTCTCAGTTGCTGACAGTCTGGATGGTGGATTACTTTGCTATATATCTACATATATGAATAACTATGTACAGTGAAACTTCAGTAAGTAGGAAAGAACATAGCCACTCTACTGGTTGCATGCTACCTCCTTTCCCTTTGAAGTTTTTCCTAAAGAAGTTCCACTGTGTTAATGTTTATCTGCAAATGAAACTCTACCCCTGACACCCTTTAAAGTTGCTTCTCCGCTTTCGCCGTCTTTAAAATTCATGAATGCAGCAGTTTCTGCATCGCTTGCACTTTAATGTGTAGAATTTAATTCACGGAATATTCTTGTGTCACTCCCGTCCGACTTCAGTAGTCGCATAATGGAGTGATCTCTGTGGCTCTTTCGCTCCGGGGTCTCATGTTTGTCACTTTAGAAGTTTAAACGTTTAATAAGCGAACTCTTGATTGAATTAATATGCCATTGTTGACCGGCTCCGCACACGATCTCGGATTGGTTCTCGGAGGCGACCGGAGAGAGTTAATTGAGTTGAAGTTGCCTTCCTCAAGTTGTGAACTTTTCAACTTTTCAGCGCTCTTCAAGTGCCGATAAAGAAATGGAAAAATCTCTGAAAATATTGAGATTTATTGCATCGTTTGAGGAAGTGTTAGATGCGGTTTATTTATACAAGCATTTATGTATCTATATTTAGAAGATACTATTTTTCGTGGAAAATATATATTTAATAATACTATTTTATTTTATTATTTAAGTCCACTAAAAGTTACCCTTCCCTAACCATTTGATTTCAATTCATGATGAAATTCCTCCCTTTGTTTGATGTGGCACGTCTCCTTTGATCCTCCTCAGAAGTTTCAGGCATCAAACCGGATCATTTTCTTTCGTATTCCCTTCATGATAGCTCCGATTCTATTCGCCAGATACATTCCACACCCTACACACACGCACACATACGCTCACGAGAGACCCGCATTTTGTGTAAAGAAACTCCAATCTGAAAATCTCTTTCATACACAATTTCATCAAATGTTTTCTATTTATCCGGCTCTCCTTCTCGGTTTGTTTACATTTTCGTGTTCGCCTTTCCGGCCTTTCAATTCAGAAGTGGAACCCGTTCGGGGGCCCAACACCGTCCACACAGATACGTTTGTATCTCACCGATACAAGCAGCGCCGTCTGCTATTTATTCTCGTGTGTTTGTTTTGCGCTTCGCCCTCGTTCGTTGGATCGCGTCGGCAGTTCGCAGTTGCCATCCACATCCACCAGTCCACAATCGTAGGTAACAACAGTTCCGAAGCGAGTTTCAAGCCGTCAACTTCAACGGTTGCCGCCAGCGGACAACTGCGACGGCGCGACGTATCCGAGAGATACGGACCCGAGTATCTGCTGCTCTGCTGTGTGCGTTGTGTTTGCTCATTACGAAAGCGTGAATGTTAATGGGCTGGCCCAGCTGAATCAAGTGCGCGGTGGCATTCTAACCGAAAGATACAGCCCGAAGATAATACATAAAGAAAGACGTCTTGTTAAACAAACATAGGCTTTAAAGAGCTACATCTAAAGTATAACTGAAATAAATGGCTAAGCATTCAAAAGGGATTGAAATAACATAAATAAAAAGTGTTACAGTGAAGATACTTATATACGGCTAAGCCATAAATAATCTCTTAATAGAAACAATCAAAAGTTATAACCGGAAAAGAAAACTCATCTAGCAACAGGGAATCCCTGAGGTTTCCAACAACCGGCTAGCAGAAAACGTAGCCTGTAGTGCAATCCACAATCCAAAGCCCAAATGCAGCCCGAAATGCTCAGCGGAGCGCAGCTGTGAACATTTCACTTTCGGTGCATCCAACAGATACGAGCGATTGTTGCACGCCGCTCCAAATTTGCAACGCAAAGTTGGCTGGTCATTGGCTTTTGGCCCTTGGCGGCAAGAAACCTTTTGAGCGATGCAAATGCCTCCACAGAGAGATTCGGTGTATCTATGAGATACTTTTGCTATCCGTATGGCTGAATATAACATGCTAATTTGCAGCAAAACTTTATGGGAGTGTAAAGTGATTTCGAGAGTCCCCCGATGACGCCTCACTCAAATATTTCTTGCCAGCCAGTCATTAGCATATGCAAATCTACTTCTAATAAAATCGAAAAGAATCGAGATCGAAACTGAAACCGAAACCAAACTTTGCACGACGTGAAGTTGCAGCAAATAGAAAAAAATGATTATTTATAAATCATTACCTCAATTTGTGGGATTTTCCGCAAATAAATAGACATATTCAGCTACCTATTTGTGTGTGTTAACAACAATTGAAAGTGACATCAACTTTATTACTGCAAAATTCCTCGCCTTTTGCACTTTATTTATTTTATCGTTTCTTGTTTATTCCCATTTGAAAAAACAAATTTTTATTTATTTTTTGTGTGTGTACTCAAGTTCCAAATTACGCTCATTCATATCGCTATGAAAAAAAGTGAGATTTCACTCTCTATAAACATGACATACGAAACCATTTAAATAATCAAATTAATTGCTTTGATTCGCTCAAAGTGCATTGAATAAGAGACCTTTAAACCATTGGCAAGCGAAATAAAATAAAAGACGAACACAATGAAGTTTCCGGATTACGTTCCAAACAACATGTTGGTGGTAAGCAAAATCCGTGGCAGACAACTTATTTTCCTTATAATTAGAGTCATTAAGTCTGTAGTAACTGGGTCGTAAATCAAACTGCTGCGAGTTAAATTATGACTAAACAGAAGGGTGGGGTTCCAGAAACGAGTAGATAAACAATCTGACGAATGCCCAACATTAGATGAAGGTTATACTACTAGAATCCGGAAAACTTATTCGCTTCTGCGGCGCACACATGACAAGATTAATTATGTTTTGAAGAAAGTCTTTAACGCACGCCTTCCTTCTGCTGCACACCATTAAATTTCCAACTAATTTTACTTGCAATTAAGTTAATTATAATTTTACCGCCCCCATCAAAATGCACAAACTCGGTCAAAAATCCGGCAACGTTTTCATAAATCTTCTTTCATGTTTTGGCTTCACTCTGTTTTATTTTTGTTTAATGCAAGCCAAGCATAACCAAAGATTTCTGGGCAGATGTGGAGTCGTCGGTCTGATGCAAGTTCATATATGTATCTCCACCTGCAGCAGACTCTAAAAACTTTATGAATATTTATCAACTTAGACTGGCCCACGCGACTGCTCAAATTTGTATTTTTGTTAGTTAATTTTGTTTATTATTTATACCAGCCCACGCGTGGAATTTTTGTCTGAAGTTTTTGTAATTGGATGCGTCGTGTTGCGTCTGTCTGTTAAAATTATATTTTTTTGTGGCGCCCACCTGAGACGGGCATGAAAATTCGCTTTAATTTTTTTGTTTTAGGGGATTGGCTGGCTCGCCGAACGACAGATTCGAAATTGATTGCAGTTTCGAATCGTTTTTGTGGAGTTTTTGCCGAGTGAATCACGGTGAATGCAGGCCGGATTGGGAAACAGCTTGATGGGATTTGATTTTAATTGATTTATCTTCATTGTATGTTGTTTATTGGATTTGTGTAATGATTGAGTTGGATCTCTCAATTGAGTGTGCTCATACGGTGGGGTAGTGCGTCGAATTGGAATTCGGGTTCCGCCCATCGCCCGCTGTGAGTGTAAATGAAGTCGAACCAAAGGGATTTGGAAATTGCAGGTGGTAAATTTGGTGGGGAGATGCGTGCAGGCCTAATGAAATCATTAATTTAATTGTGTTGTTGAATAGCAAACTAAATGCAATTGATTAACTCAGCCAAACAATTTAAAATTTGTTTTTGAGAATCATTTAAACAGAAAAGTCACACAGTACTCTAGTTAGAACACAAAAACTTAATAAACAAAGTAAAGTACATAAAAGCAAAGTAAGTCTAGTCATTATTTATAATTAAAGCTGTACTGAAATTCCCTTTTTAGCCATTAAAAAGTGAATTTACATACATTTACCCTGCATTTCTAGTTCATCTTCAACTTCTTTCATTCTCTTTTACAAACTCGAATTCTTTTGTGCTCAAGCAAATGACTTACACCCTAGAAATACGTTTGCCTTTCCTGAGTTTTTATTTTTTCATATTCAACTTCATTCATACCATTTCCAAACAGATTCCATTCGTAAACAAATCGTTTTCAGCTTTATTTAGTTTCACTTTGTGTCAGGTGGCTCGGTCACAAAAACAACAGAGAAATAGACTCCACAAATTCCCATTCAGTCACACCGAGTGCACAACCAACCCACCACTATACGTATTCCAGCATTATTTTTATTATTACTTTTACAACTAACCACTAGCCCTTTTACGCATTTCTGCTGGAACCTCTAGTGCATAAAATTGAATCGTGTCCGAGTGGCTGGGAATTCATGGGTCGTTCTTGGGCTTGGGCAACAGGTCGCATAGACGAGTATGTAAAAACGGAAAATAATGGAAAAACGGAAGTCACATGTGCATTTCCGTCTCGCAGCCGTCCTTAACAAATTCCAATTAAAATATATTGAAATAAATTGAAAGAGGCAGCGGACAAATTTTATATGTCTAGTTTACGTGCTCCAGCTGTTAAAAATGACATGGAGATATAAATAAAGGAAGTGATTCCAAGTTTGTTTTATTTTCCTATTTTTATGACATTTTATGTACTTTAAATATTATTAAGAAATCTCTAACCTTTCTCATATTCCTATTAAATTTTTCCAGGGCGATCGGACCACTTGGGAGTACCACACAGTGGCAGTGACTCGGGTTCCGGGTTATGGCTTCGGAATAGCCGTTTCCGGTGGACGTGATAATCCGCACTTCGCCAACGGCGATCCGTCGATAGCAGTTAGCGATGTGCTGAAAGGTGGACCCGCCGAGGATCGATTGCAGTAAGTATAAAGACATTCAAAGTGACTCATCACAAGTTAGTGACCCCTCAAGAGGCAAACCTTTTCAATGCATTCCGAATGATTATCCGGCAGGAAATTAATTGTTTTTCGGGATATGTCCGACATGATGAATGGGCCCCCATGCAAACTGATCAAATAAAGTGCAGACTAAGCATTTCCTATTCGACCAGAACTAGTTGTTCTCCTCCAAATGAAAGTGGGCATTATAAATTCCCGACATGCTGCTGACAATTGACATCGTTAATCTTAGGCTTAGAACTTTTTTTCTTTTTTTCGATCCCCACTCCCTCAAAAATAAAACCCGAAATGCGCACACTTCAATACTTCAAACTCACGTAGCCGGGTCAACAAAAAAAAGTATATAATTAAACCAACGCCTTGGCAGCTCAAACTCGGTCCCTCTGAAGCTGTTTCTTCGCCGATAATAAAAATTCCAAAGCGTTTTTCAATAGTCAGCGGAGTCGGCGGAGTGGAGACCCTTGGCCAGACTCTCGTGATTAAAAACTTGTCATAATCTTTTTTCCCAAGAAACTATTTACCCTGGCCCAGCCAGACATGCAGCTAACAATTTTCACTTTGTCCCTTACCTGAGTTCGCCGGAGGATTTCAAAAGGAAAATCCCGCTTCGGCGGCTGGAAAATGTTTGCCAAGTGTGCGGAGACAAGTGGAAATTAGCTGCAGCGCAGCACATGTCTTTGCGAGCTGCCTGGGAGCATGTGGGTTCATTATGGGCAAAGTTTCACTGTTATGCAGCTTAGTAGGTATTATGCACTAAGAGAATAGAGTGTGACAGATGCAGTTGCTAATTAAATTGAAGTTCTAAAGGTTGCAAAGAATCTGTTAAGTTCCTTGATTACTTTTAGTTTCAAAAGTTATATCTGTATATTTATTGTTCGTTTTAAGTCAATCTTACCTTCCTCAAAAGCCAGTGATTTATGTAAGCCATTTTTTCTGAGTACACAACTCAGTTTTCCCAATCCAACACATGCCATTCCAAGCGGCATTTTCCGCATTTTTGGACGGCTTTATTGTTAAGCCGCTCCAGCCAGCCAGACTCAATGGTTCCATCGGCGAACCGAAAGTAAAACGCGGCTCAGTTTGGCTTGGTTCGGTGGCCGCTTCTTTCTGCACTCGTAGACAACTTAATTATGGCTATGTTTCGCCTCAGACATGCAATATAATTTCTATCATTAACCACTTTGTCTGCGGCGACGAGAGCAGCACACACTTATTGTATCTGTATCTAAAGTATAACATTCTTGTCGTTAATTCGTCATGTGCTATTTACCATTTACCATTACATTTTACTTTTCATTCCGCCACTTCTGCGTTCCGTTCCAAGAACGGTCCGTAATTGTTCAGGTCTGAACAAACAGACTGAGTACCGCCAGAGTTATTCCCCAGAAATCCACGGAAGCCGCTTAGCAGACGCCTCGATTCTTGATTCTTTATTACTTTTACTTCCAGTCTAGTCATGCCGAGGAGCTCACACAATTGCCAGTTTATTAGCGTATGTCTTCAATCCGAGTCTAACCTGATTTCACTTGGAGTGGCCGAGAAGTCCGATCTCTACCTGTCCGATCGCATTGCGATCAGTGATCCGAAACATTTTGTATCTGCAGCTGGAGGTTCAGCTGGTTCTCCATTTCATATGAGCTACTGTGTTACTTTAGATACCCTGTACTCAATAACGACATTGAGTAAATGCAATCAAATGAAACTGAATAACTTGATAAATTCAATTTTAATTTAAGGCCACACCTGAGAGCTATAATATTATTTAGGTCATATTGATAGGGTTTTTAATTATTCAGTAACAGATATGATAACGTTTAATTTAATGTACTTAGCGACCTTTAAAAGTAGTTTTCACTTGTAGCAGGAATCTGATTCCTTGGGTATCTCTTAGTTGCAAGTCTCCCGAAACTGTTTCCCTAATTATGGTTTATGGCTGCAGGTCTAATGACTGTGTAAAAACGGACAAGGTCGTTTCTAATGACCTGCATATAGAATAAACCTGAAGAAACCTGTAGTTCTCCAGTTTGGTCACGATTCGGCCATTAGGGCAGGGTTTACGAGCTACCCGACAATTACTGCCCGAAGTGGTCCACACTAAAAACCCCAATCTCCTCCCCCTTGCAGAGTCAACGATCGGATAATCTCGGTGAACGGCGTCTCCCTGGAGAACGTGGAGTACGCGACGGCGGTGCAGGTGCTGCGCGACAGCGGCAACACGGTGCAACTGGTGGTCAAGCGGCGCGTGCCCCTCAACCCGATCAATGCGGTGGGTGCAGTGCAGCACCAGCACTCCCACTCGCTCAGCTCCGTGGGTCTGGTGGCCAACGGGAGCGGCGGAGTGGCCCCCACCCCGCTGACGAGCCTCAGCCAGCCGAACTCGCTCAACTCGTCGCTGGTGCAGAACGCCAGCAGCGGGCAGCCCATCAAGATTACGCTCACCAAGGGAGGGAAGAAGGACGACTACGGCGTGGTCCTCGGCTGCCGGCTGTTCGTCAAGGAGATCTCCTCGAAGGCCCGCGAGCAGCTGATCGCCAACGGGTACAGTCTGCAGGAGGGCGACATCATCACCCGCATCCACAACACCAACTGCGGCGACACGATGAGCCTGAAGGACGCCAAGAAGATCATCGACGGTTGCAAGGAGCGCCTCAACATGGTGGTCCTGCGGGACATCACCAACCAGGCGGCGGTCAGCCAACTCAATCTGAACAACTCTTCCGGTCATCAAGCGGCGGGCAACATCTACGCCAGTCACCAGCCTCAGGTGTCCGGGTGCAGCAGCGGCAACAACAACCTGGAGGATCCCTACCTTCCAGGAGGCGCCAGCTACTCCTCGCAGAACCTGTACGTGCAGCCGCCCACTCGCACCTCCAATGGTCCCAGCATGAATGGCAACGGCTTGAACGAGGAGAAGAGCAATCTCACTCCGAGGGGACGCTCGCGGGGACCCATCATGGATGGGGTATCGCTGCAGCAGTTGGACAGACCCGTAACACCCACTCGGGGAAGAAGTGGAGGCGCTGATGAGCCGCCACGCCCACCTCCACCGAGGGGAACGAGCGGAGGAGCCGCCCAGGAGGACTTCTACAGCTCGCGCAGACAACTCTACGAGGAGCGCCAGAGCGCCGAGCCGAGGTTCATCTCCTTCCAGAAGGAGGGAAGCGTGGGCATCCGCCTGACCGGCGGCAATGAGGCCGGCATCTTCGTGACCGCCGTGCAGCCAGGATCTCCGGCATCGCTGCAGGGTCTGATGCCCGGGGACAAGATCCTCAAGGTGAACGACATGGACATGAACGGCGTCACTCGGGAGGAGGCGGTGCTCTTCCTGCTGAGCCTGCAGGACCGCATCGATCTGATTGTGCAGTACTGCAAGGAGGAGTACGACGAGGTGGTGACCAACCAGCGCGGCGACTCCTTCCACATCAAGACGCACTTCCACTGCGACAATCCCTCCAAGGGCGAGATGGCCTTCAAGGCGGGCGACGTGTTCCGGGTGATCGACACCCTGCACAACGGGGTCGTGGGATCCTGGCAGGTGCTCAAGATCGGTCGGGGTCACCAGGAGATGCAGCGCGGCGTGATACCGAACAAGTCGCGGGCCGAGGAGCTGGCCACCGCCCAGTTCAATGCCACCAAGAAGGAGATGAACGCCAACGAGTCGAGGGGCAACTTCTTCCGGCGACGACGGTGAGTTCTTTGGGTCACCTTTTATATATGGTTTTAAATAACTGAGGTCACCTTTTCTTATTTATTTAGCAGTTCCACGCACCGGCGGTCGAAGAGTCTGTCCCGCGAGAACTGGGACGACGTGGTCTTCTCCGACAGCATCTCCAAGTTCCCCGCCTACGAGCGCGTGGTTCTTCGTCATCCTGGCTTCGTACGACCCGTGGTGCTCTTCGGACCCGTTTCCGACTTGGCCAGGGAGCGACTGGCCAAGGACTTCCCCGACAAGTTCTCCACTCCGCTGCAGGACGACGACAAGTCGGCCGCCACGAGTGGCAAGTGCCGCATCGTGCGGCTCTCGAACATCCGCGATGTGATGGATCGCGGCAAGCACGCCCTGCTGGACATCACCCCCAATGCGGTTGACCGGCTCAACTACGCCCAGTTCTACCCAGTGGTGATCTTCCTGAAGACGGACAGCAAGCATGTGATCAAGCAGCTGCGCCACGGACTCCCCAAGGCGGCCCACAAGAGCTCCAAGAAGCTGCTGGAGCAGTGCCAGAAGCTGGAGCGCGTCTGGTCGCACATCTTCAGCACCCAGATCGCGCTGAGCGACGAGGAGTCCTGGTACCGCAAGCTGCGCGACTCGATCGATCTGCAGCAGAGCGGCGCCGTGTGGATGTCCGAGTCCAAGGTGAGTCTTCCTCCTTGTCAACATTCCTTTCTGAACATTCTAGTCCATCCTAGTTGTTGTCTGCGTGTTGTCCAATGTAGTTAGTCCATAAGTCTGGTTAAAAACCAAAGCATCTCGTGGATGTCTAGACTCCATCGATAACAGTGTAATCTTTTAATTAACGATGTCCTAACTGTCCAAACAGGTGATGGGAAGTTAGAGTTTTAGAAACAATATTGAATATTTGAAATCCTTAAAATAGAAAAGATATACGATTTTTTCTTAGAAGTATTTAAAATTTGTTATTTTCACGAATCCTTTAAAATATTTATTAAAAATATTTAATGTTAAACTTTCAATTTAATATTTACCCCAAGAATGCATTAAAGAACTGTAAAACCAATTTGTTTTTTTTCACTCCAACAACAGAATATTTATTAGCACGTTTGGAGGTCAATTAGCATACCAACACTTGTAACTTCCAATATTTATTTCATAATATCTTAAGAAAACAATTTTTTAATCAGGAATGATTTTTTGTTTAGTGCAGTTTTAGTTACACCGATGATCTCCCAGCCTAGTAACTTACACCTAACTTAAATAATACTTTATTATCGTAATGATCTTGAACTAATTTAAAAACCTCTATAACTCTTTAATTTCTACAACTGGTTATGGTCAATATTCTAATTTTTACTTTCGAACCTTTTTCTTATTCGTTTTTTAAACACACACAAATACACAAACACACATACATATACAAACATGCCCATGATTGTTGTCGACAAACCGTGAAATAAAAATAAAAATAAAAATAATATTAACAGTTCCCCGATTCCCCCACCGAAATGTTATTCCCCCCCTACATCGCCCAACCATGCAAGTTCGCCTGCTGCCGCCCCATTTCGTCGACCTCAGTGCCTCGCTGCTCGCAGAACCTCAATCTCTGCCAGAACCCGGCCAAATCCTACTCGCTGATCCACAACCAGGGTCACACCCCTCCGCCGCCACGCCCCCCGCCCGTGGGTTACGCCCACAGCCAGAGCTTGGCCGAAAAGCCCAGGGATCGCAGATCCTATACGATGGTGCCGATCATAAAGCCGGCTTCCTCGATGCCCAGTGGCCTGGCTCCCCCGTGGACCCAGCTCCCATTCTGCCACTGGACGACAACATCCTCTCGATGGATGGTGCCAACTCCCAGTACCACAGCTCCCAGCCAAACCTGAGCTACTTGAGCTCCAATCTGAATGGCAGCCAATCGAATCCCTCGAATGGAAACAGGGGCTTTCAGCCCGGACCAGCTGCAGTCAGCCGCTATGGGTTGCGAGCCAATGCGCCCGTGGAGCGGAGGACCACTCCGTACTACTACCACGAGCTGCTGCTGCAGAAGAACCTCTTCGACTCCAGCCTGAACCTGCTGCCCCAGCAGCAGCAGCAGGATCAGGTGAAGAGCAAGAACAGCAATCTGCAGATGGAGCAGCAGCAGCAGCAGCAGCATCTTGCGGATGCCAATCAGATGGCATCGAAGAGGGCGCCGATGGCCAAGCCACAGCAGCGATTGATTGGCAATGGCCAGGGCCGGGGCAACTACTCCTCCTCGGGATCCCTGAGCAATCTCCTCGGGAATGGCCACGGGTTGAGCAATGGTCACGAGAGCAGCGATGGCACTTTGGCGGATGAGGGCAGCTTCACGCTGGCCTTCAACAATCTCACCAGCCAAATTGCCAGTCTCAATAATTCAAGTAGCTTAAACAACAACAACAACAATAATTGTAGTAACAGCAGCAGCAACAACAACAGCAACAGCAACAATAACAACAACAATAACAATAATAGCCACGTTAATAATGCTGATTCCAACAACAATGTTGGCCAGAGTAACGAATGCATTGCATGAGAATCGGTGTTAATTTAGTTGAAAAGGTCCAGAGAACGAGATCTGATCTGATTAATCGGATTAAGTCACTCCACTTGGGGCACAATCGCTTTTCAACTGAATCTCTCTGTCCCGAATCCCTGAATTCACACTCCGCTCTCTAATTTGTAACTATCGCATGTAGTTGTTCGTACTAAATTATTCATAAGCCCAAATACTCCTCATGTAGCATGATCAAGAATATAATATTGTGTGTAGACCGCTACTCGTTTAATCTGTACATATAAATGTGTGTAACTGTGAAGCTAAAAGCATGTAGAGGATCATGAGTGCCATATCATCCTAGAACCAGAAATTGTCATTCCGAGGAAGTACAACCTATACAACCAATATAATCTCGAAAGATCTAAATGCTGCATTTGTATAATCAAAAAGTACTCTACTTTTATCTTGAAACATTTCCTGAGAGAAAGACAATTTCGAAACCAGATTCACCAAACCAGATATACCAAAAATAAATCCTTACAAATATTCGACATACATATTTAGGCTTAAGTATATACGCAAAATCGCCATACGATCTTGGCCAATATTTTTATAAAGTTGCTAACTAAATGTTTTTCGTTTCATTTGTTTCTTTTATTTACATACCAAAAACAAAACCAAAACCAAATATACATCATCATGGTCATTTCCCGCTTAATCACCCGTAAAACCCGATGCATATATTAAAACCAACACCACCAAAATAATCAAAATGTCCTCGTCCAAACTAAAAACCAAATCAAACAACAAATATATCCGAAATATCAAATATCTTGTGTTCGTCCACACATTACGTATCCAAATGCTTCGCAATCGAACGCCGTTCAATCAATCGAATCGATCAACCAATCAATCAATCATATTCTTTAATGTTTCATAAACGTTTCTTGTTGCTGTTCTTGCGTTTTATTTATTATCAAAACAAATGTTGATTGCTCTCAACGCGCTAAATTTGACACTCGAAAATCAACGAAACTACCGCTAAATCGCAATTAACTCTTGCCAAAAAATTGCGCCTAATCATTACCGAACCGAATCCGTAAAATCCCAAACCCCAGCCCGTAGAATCCCTCTCCGACGACTTCCTATTCCCCATGACCACCTCCCGACTCTCGTATGCATCAAGTCCCGAATCCGATTTGGAACTGAGTCCCGGCCCATCCGCATCATTGTCGCTTGGCAATTTGCCGCAGTTGGTTAAAGCGAGCTCAGATCCATCGATTGCCACTAATCAGGATAACTTGGATAGGGATAGAGACATAATTGGTGAAGGACTACCACCTCCATATACGGTAAGAGGTCGAAAAGCCAACCAAACAATCAAAAAACCAAACAAACCGAAACCAAGAAACAAACTTAGCATGCGCTTCCACTAAAAACAAAAGAAATTCAAATAAACTTGAGCGGTTCTTAAGCGCCTCATAAAAATAACAATTGTTAGCAGAATTGTGTCATGAGGTTTGTCATTGATTACTACTTACTTGATTAAAATCCAGATCTATTAAAACTATAATGAACAGAACTCATAAGATAATTCAAATTAAATTCCAATGACAACCCTTCAATGGCATAATTTTGTTAACCAACTTAACCCGTGTGCTAATCTATTTCGCCACCCACTCACCGCCCCTTGCAATGCACCTGCCGCAGGTACCCTACGACCACGGTGTCCCCGCGAATCCCAATCGCCGCCAGACCATGGACTCCAGCAAGTACAGCATCTACGGCACCAGTGTGCCGCCGCAGCCGCAGCAGCCTGGCGGAGGCGACCCGGCTGCAGTGCGTCCGCAGTCCCTGTACGGGATCAATGCCCCGGATCTGCCGCCGCGCATCGATCGCCAGTCGAAGCCGGGAGAGATCCCCCTGAACACCTCGGGCTCATCGTCGCGAAACGGAACTCTGGGTCGCAGTGCCCAGGAGCGACTGTTCGGCAAGGCCGTCGTGCAGGACGACGTCCAGGCGGAGTACATCACCCGGAATGCTCTGGTGGGATCCGGAGCAGCTGAGAGCCTGGATCGCCAGCAGCAGCAGCAGCAAACTCATGCGTCCCTGGAGCGCCAGGCTCGCCTGAATGCCCAGCTGAAGGCCAATGGAGGAGGAGGAGGCGGAGGAGGAGGAGGAGGTGCCTCCACCTACGACAGTGTGTCCAGCTACGATTCGTACAACAACACACAGATGGCCATGCAGAACCTGGGAAGACTGGGTCCCAATGCGCCCGACGATCTCAAATCAGTGCCAAATGCAAGGTGCGTTTGATTAACAACATTTTTATTTATGTTATTATTTATTTTATTTATTTTATTATTTATTTTATTATTTATTTTATTTATTTTTATTATTTATTTATAATTATTTTGTTGAATGTTTCAGTGGTCGCCCCTTGCCGCAGGTGGGTCAGTCGCATGACTACGGTCGAACTCCCCACGATCATCGCAGCTTCGGCGGAGCCAACGATCTGAACCGCCAAAGCAGTCCTGGAAGGCCGCACTACCATGAAATGAATGCGTCCCGTAATATCGGTAAGTAATCCTTACAAATGTTTAGGTATCACATATATTACAAAGGATATATCATCTCTTATAGATCCACGCAATGGCACACCACAGCGTCCTTCGAATTTGGGTCTGGAAAGCAGTCCCCGCAAGCCTTTGGTGGAGACCAAAACGGATTACGGCAAATACAGGTAAGATCGATGAAATCCTTCTATATCCTTTGTATAGGTTACCCTCCAAGAATTGTACATATCACAGGGTTCAGTTAAAATATAAAGAAACTATTTACTTTCTCTTTCTCCTGCGCCGTCGTCTTTTCAACTCACTCGCATGCATTTGTCGACTGTGTCGTAAATATTCTTTTGTATCTCTTCGAATATAAATATAATATGATATTACGTATACGTACATATGTGTGCCCGGTCCATTAGACGCTATCATCTCCATGCGCCCCATTTGCAGCACCTGCATATGTTGCACTCGCTCTCACCTTCGACCTCTTCTTTGTCGCCCGCGTCCCTGCCCCTGCCACTGCCCCACCCCCTGACCTGCGGCCTCCAGCTGACCCAGCAGCAGCTCCTCCGCCTCTCCTCCGGCGGCTTCGACCGTCGTCCGATCGCCGCTCCGCGTCTGCACGCCCTGATGGCTCCACTGCCTCCGCCTGCTCTGATGTCCAGTGCCTCGGCCTACGACACGCTCGTCTGAGACAACGAAACCAAAATCGAAAACGAACTTTTTTTTTTAAATTAGCTACGACTTTTCTATGCGAATATGCACTATAAAGATCACTGAACTGTATACCGAAATATTCCCTTTATTAGTAAAAATATCTTAAGAGTTTAAATATCATTATGAACTTCTCCCAACTTTCTCCTTTTGTCCCCTGATGTTTAATTATAGTTTGTCTGCCATGTAAATATAAACTTGTGTTGAGAACCCCAACCCGAAGTGCAATAAACGATATTCACACCTGATCGACCCAGACTTTTGTATGCCGTCTAAGCACTTTAGAGATTATTCATTCTGCTACCACACGTGTCCTTATAATTACATGAACTTTTTTCTCTTTCTTGCTTATGTTTTGTGCTCGCCATCATCAACTGTTTGTCCCCGAAAAACGAAACACAACTTCACCCAACAAAAACCACTGCCACTCATAATGCACCCGATCCACAAACTCCCCGCAACCACATGAATCAACCAAAACCAAAAAAAAAAACAGTCGCAACAACTCCGTGACACAAGCGGATTACACTAAGCTGCCAAAGACGGCGCCACACGGAGTGGTTCCTCCGCCGAACGTGAGCAATGGCCAAAACCAGATGAATGGGAGCGGAACGCCCAGCAGCAATGGCAGTGGACCCTTCAAGCCGGTGCCACCGCCAAAACCGAAGAACTACAGGCCGCCGGTGCAAAGTGGCGGCAGTTCTGGTAGCGGTGGCACCACTCCTTGGGAAAATGGAGTAAGTTCATCTAGATTAACCTTTCCCTGGAGCTTGTAACTTAAATTCTAAATCCCATTTTCAGGACTCTGGTTCGCCTCGTTCGCCCAATGGCTTCTACTATCCGCCAACGCCTTCGCACCACCATTACGGCCAGCAGGCCACTCCTGGCTCGCCCAGCAATGGACACATGCAGCCACCGCCGCCGCAGCAGCAACCCACCTACGGGGGCAGCAATGGCAACTACGGACAGGCACCACCACCCCAGCAGTATCCCCAGGCGAAAGGCTACAATGGCAACAGCCACCACTACAACGGAGGCAGCGGCACAGGACCCTACATCGCACCACATCGCGGCATGCCACAGCCAATAGGTGGGTGATTATACCTAAAACAAATCAGATTATATATTAATCAAATAATATTTGTATCTATAGGAAACCTACCGCCTCACACGCCGGAACGCCATGCCTTGGATTTGGCAGGAAGTCGGGAGCAACGTGGATCGGCCTTTGAGCTTTATCGTAAACCGCAAATTGGCGCCGCCGCTGGGCACCATCACAACATGAGGTAAGTGGATCTAAAGTTTTCATAGCCCCTTTATTATCCTCCCCTCTGATAGATCCATTGTTCCTCCAAAAGGAGATCCTTCTACCCAAAAAAAAAAAAAAAAGAAAACACACAAAAACATTTCTTTGATCCCCCTCAGTTTTCAACATTTGTGTTAACGAAAAATGTTTTATATTCTTGTTAAATGCCATTTTCGTACTTTACAATACTCGATCAAGCATTCAGTCAATCAATCAGTCAGCCAAACAATCAGTCAATCATTATGCCAATCTATTCATACTTTCATTCGGTTGCTGGTCATTACCAATTATTCGATGCAAAAATTTCACGAAAAACACACAACAACGATATCAAATCGCATATATTACATTATTTATTGTAATTATTGTATTTTGCAATAACCAAAATTATTAACCAAACCATGAATTAAAGCTTAACAAAATTTACAAATATAAAACCAAAGGTTGTAAAAAGCTGAGCGCTTCACGCACATAAGATTTGAAAAACGAAAATAAAACATTTTTCGGGTTAACTTCTACTTGCCATTTTTCTATACAGTACAGATTCGTATCCACATTTCTCTTTTCTTAACTCGTACTATTATTTATACATTTAATAATCATGCTCTTAGCTGATTTCTGCGTTTCTCGGGTATTTAAAAGTTAATCTTGAATCTAACTACGGTTTTGGGTGAATTCAACCTTTTAATAAAACAACAGAAATAATAACTAACAACAAACTAGTTTACACAACTGGTATTTGGTATTAACTTTTCTCTACAGTTTGGTTAACTTGCAAAGTATTTTATATAAATATATGGATATTATTTATATGTGCGCTTGTGTGTCTTTGGCGAAAGTTTTGCAGGAATAAAATGTGTTTGAGTCAGGGTTCTTAAATACCTAAATATTCCTCATTGGAATGATAAAATGAAAACGGTGATGTGCAGAATATTTCCGAGTGTTTTATAACAGAGATTCTGAATTGTTTTCCAATTACAATTCCAATTATGATTAACAAATAAATTTATTATATAAAGATTCTCGTGCCAATCCTTTGAGGCACTAAACACTACTAGGGTCCCAGAATTACAGCACTCGATCCCCTTTGAAACCCTTTGCTAATCACACACAAAAATTCCGAATCATGTAATGAATCTTTAGCGAGATGGAGCCGTACGATGAGCGGTACGATGATTACTATGCCAGACCGCCACCTGGCGCCCATCCCTCCCAGGGTCACCCGGGTCACCAAATGCAGCGATCCCGCTCAGCTCCGCGTTATCCCCACGAGCGACCGCCGCCCGCCCACGATCCCAATTACTACGGCCACTATGGCACCTCCAGGGGCCACAGTCAGCCACGTCAGCAGTACCCTCAGCACCACCAGCAGCAGCCGTACTACGATGACCACGGCATGGAGATGGGTCCTCCGCCTCTGCCGCCGCACAAGAAGAAGAAGTCGGTGCTGAAGAGCCCGCTGGTGGCACTCAAGAACGCGCTGCTCAAGAGCACGCGACCCCTGAGGAGGATGAACAGCATGGTGGAGCCGGAGCGGAAGCCCAAGGGGCTGCGGCGCCAGCAGTCGATGCTGGAGAGGGGGGTGCAGAGGCCCTACTACCCGGACGAGTATCCCACCTATCCGGCTGGCTTCGAGGAGCGTTCCCACGGAGGAGAGGGCATGATGCATCCGCAGGATGTCTACTACCAACGGGGTGGCCACTACCCGCCGCAGCAGCAGGAAATGATGAACAGCACCTACCAGAACCTGGAGGGCGAGGACATCTACGGTAACATAGGCAACACAGTGCCCCGAATGCCGCACCACCAGGATAACGGCTATGGGTACGACCAGTATGATCTCTATGCGAACCGAGCTTGCATTGATCTCGAGAGGAGGCAAGCAGAAGCGGCTGCGGCTGCGGCTTCGAGTGGCAGGAATGGCCGGAGGATAGTGCGGCGTCACAGCACCACCACGGCGGATCGGCAGGGAGGGAATCCCGGACCGGTGAGAAGACCCATGATCAGTCCCGGCTACGAACAGGATCCCCAGGACATCTACCAGACCCGCAACGGGGCCTACATGCTGCCCGATCAGCGGAGGGCGCCCAGTTCGGAAGTGATGACCCGCAGGAGGTTCTATCCGGGGGCAGCTAATGAGCAAACCGAGGAGGAGCCCCTCTACCAATCCCGGCGCGAAATACAGCGGGAAATGCAGCGGAATCACCTGTACCAATCGAAGCGCGAAATGCAGGAGAGGATCAGCCAGGGCAAGCGGGACATGGAGCGGGAGTTCAGCCCGCAGAGCAGCAGCAGCCAGTCGGAGGCCTCCAATCCAGAGGCCATATACCAGAGTCGCCGTGAGGCCAAGGAGAGTGCTCTCAAAACGAGGGCCCAGCTGAGGGATCAGATCTATCAGACTCGGCGGGAAGCACTTGATAGCATGGCGGAACCGATCTATGCCTCTAAGAGGGACATGGGCAGACCGGCGCCCATCTACGAGTCGCGGGAGGAGTGCATCCTCCAGTCCAGGGAAAACGAAACGGATGAAAAGAAGGAGGGCAAGTCGGAGCAGATTCAAGTGGAGATCAATGCTCAGCCGGAGGAGCAGGTTGAGGACTCCACCTTGAGTCGCTCGGACCTGCAGAAGTCCTCGGATACGGTGATAGAAAACCCAGCTAGGGCTCCGCTTGTCCAGGATGAAGTGGATGAGGAGGAGGCGGAGGAGCAGCAGGAGCAGCAGGAGGATGAGGCTGAGAGTTCCGCCAACCAGACGGAGCAGCCCACGGCCATTGAAATCAATCAGCACAACGAGGGAATGCTGGCCAGTGAAACGCAAAATGCCTCGGACGATGTGTTCGAGGCAGAAGATCAGGTTCCTCCGCTGGCTCCTCCGCCAGCTCCTGTCCAACCCCTGACCCCGCGATCCGGCCGGGCGCCCTTCCACATCTCGAACATCCTCAAGCGAACAGCTCCGCCGCCGAGCTCGCCAATCGGCGACAGTTGCACCTCCATCGAAACCCAGTACACCTCCCAGGCCAGCCTGCCAGTGGGTCCACCCAATGCCACCAGTACGCCCTTCAGCAGCAGCATGTCCCTGCCCATCGCCGGACCGGTGAACAACGCTCCGCCGGCCAACGGAGGACCCTTCCCCGCCCTGCCCCGCGAACCCAGCACCTCGCGGGGATTCTTCGACTCGAATGGCGGCACTCTGGCCGATAAGCTGTGGCACGTCTCCCTGCAAATCCCGCCCGGAGCCATTCCGGCCGGAGTGCGGCAGGAGATCTACTTCACCGTCAGCGATCCGCGGATGGGACAAGCCGTCGGCGGTCCTCCGCTGGACATGGAAAATGGTTGGTCCAAACACACACTCTACTCCGTACTGTATCCATCCACCAAAAACCACCGCCACTACCACCAACCTCTTGCAAAAACACGTGTCCCTGTCTCTGGTTTTAATTTTGATTGCAGCATTAATTTGTTTTTCCGTTTTTTAATGAATATATAGTATGTGTTTAAACTTTTTGGTGGCTGGTTATTTTTTGTAGTTGACCTAACATTTAGTTGTAGTCTTTGATATAGTACTAACTTGTAGTTGTGGCTTTCTGCATGTAACTTCATGTACATCTAATTTATATAAATTCAGATATACCTATAAAATCTCTTACTGCCCCTTTTTAAAAGACTTATCTAAACTAGCACGAAGACAACTGTTTATGTTTCCAACCGACTTAAGTCTCTGTCTGTGCCCCACTTACACTTCCTATAACACTACACCCGATGTTCCACACTCTATTAAACACAAGTCTAATTGCATCTACCGAACCCAAGGAAATCTTACAGAGCCCTTACTGATAATCTTATTGTTTACCTATTATTTGCGTAGGTGAGACAATGCTGTCACCGCTGGTGATGTGTGGACCGCAGGGCCTTGAGTTCCTGGTGCCGGTTACACTCAATATTCCGCACTGCGCCGGACGGACTGCCTCCCTGGGACTGGCCCTCAAGGCGACCGACAGCGAGAAGAACCTGCACACCGAGTGGGACAACATCGACCTGCCCAGCAATGCCGCCGCTCACACGGTCTCCGTCAAGGTGGATCACTTCTAATCATAGAGCACTACCACTCATTCGAAAACTTGAACGATTAACGCAATTGTAAATAGATCCATAACACCATACACATATTCTTAAGGCCGCAATTCCAGGGCAAGCAAAATGAGCTCAACCAAGAGGTAGATGTAGGCATTGCTTATAATGTAACTAATTTAATTCAATTTTGTCTGTTAATTGTGCCTTTGAGTGATCGTTTGGCTCTGCCTTTGACCCATAATATCGAGCTAGACATTAATCAATCGAATGCAAAGGATATTTGTATAAAGCGACTAGGATTTAGTTTTATACCTAAACCAATTATTTTGTATATTTTAAAGCGACCCATTACTATGTATTTTATATATTTACATAATTTTAATGCATTTTAAATGATATATTTGACTTTTTATTAGATATTCGCATATTGTTTCGACCCATAATCCATTTTAATTGCATTCGAATTGTTAAACGCGTGCAAGTATTGCATGCAGAAGTTATATACCGTAAACATTTATAAATCGTAGCGATATCCTTATATCCTATACACGCGCCTGTATAATCAGAAAGAACATCATATTATAAAAATATTTATACGCATTTTGTATTGAACATTATACACACGTGGAAAGTTTGGGAATAAATAAAAGAGCAACTATAATAATTGTATTGTCGAGTCCATTTTCTTCCCCAACAAAGGCAAGTATTCCTTTAATTATACATTTTTCTAGTTCCATCGACCACTCATCCGCCCCAACATTATTAAAAAACAGACATCCGTTTATATACACGCAATATATTTTGTATACGTATGTAAAAAACTTGCACAGAATATATGTATAGGTATGCTTTATGTGCACTGCTTCACAACATAAGCTAACAAAGACTCGCAAAGCACTTTAAATCTTATAGATTACATCGAGTTTACGCTTCTAGAGATTTGATTATTTAAAATACAATTACTAAACTAAGCAAAAGAAACAATTTAACAGTCTGATAGTCTGTCGAGGTCCATTCCCTACGTGGCAGGTGTGGCTTTTGCTTCTGGCACGGCTGTGGCGGCCGCCGCAGAGTTTGCTCCCGCCGAGCCGGAGGTCATCGAGGTGGTGAGTAGAACCTCCTGGTCGGGAACAACGGACACGGCCTCCTTCACATATCCGTAGATGTGCTTGCGCGTATCGTTGACAACATCGCGCACCATTAGCTTAAAGAAGTTTGTGTGCAGCGGCGTTTCAGCATACCGTTCGTACTGATCCAGGGAATCCTGGAGTTTCAACGTGAGGTCATAGTTCTTGCGCACAACATCGAGTATTTGCTCCTCCGTGGGCGTGGAAAGGCCTTGCTCTGCCAGCCATTCCTTGATCTTGTTCTGGAAGTGCTTTACAATGGCTAGGATATTGACCAGGGCGTTCAATAGTTTGATGACATCGTCTTTGTACTCGCACTCCGGCATCGTTGTGTAGCGAAGGACTGTAAAGAAAATGATTAGTTATTTTTACAAAACAAATTTTTGATAATTTTACCCATGGCATGTATTTCCGTAAACACCTTCTCCTCTCGATTCAGTTCGTAGTACAGCTCGTCATAGCTGTTTGTGGTGGCCAAGAAAGTGTCGCCATACGTGATGAACAGATTGAATATATTCACCACCTGCAGTGACAAGTGGAAAATGTTGCACTTCTTGACCAGCGTCTGTTCCTGATTGACCAGAAACCGCAGCAGTCCAATCAGAGCCGACCAGAGCTCCTTCCACGGATAGTTAAGGCGCACTCGACACCTCTTTTGGTAGCACAGGATTCTGTGGATGACGCCGATGCAAAGCAGATACAGCTCCATTGGGAACTTCTTCATTAAGTGGGACACAATGAACTCCACCAGAAGATCCAGTAGTGTAGCTGCCAGCGGCTGCGATTTGCCAACACGATCCACATTCAGCTTACGATGACGCATCTGCGCCCGATGAAGCATGACCTTGAAGGTAAGATTGCTGTCGTGCATCATCGAGTTGGCGTACTGATCCTCCGAAATGCAGGTGAGGATTAGAAAGCACAGCTTCAGATTAGCAATGCTCGACTCGTTTTTGTTGTCCTGCATCACGATGGAGCAGTATTGAAAGACGGCCACCAGCAGATTGGTGGGATACTGGGTAATGTCGATGATAGGTGCGTTCGATAAATCCGGCACAGGTTGAGCCAGGCTTAAAGTGTTACTGGGCGATGGCGGGGCACTGGACTCCGCCTGCGTGTGAGCCAGAGTGGTGATAAAGTTTCTGTTCAGATGCACTGCCTCATAGAGGGCTAGTAGAAGGCCATTATTCGCCTTGATCTGCTGCACCCGTTCGCATCCTTCATCCGACACAAACATGTTGCCCACAATATTCGAGAGCGATGAGAACCACGACGAGGACTGTACATTGTTTAGGCTCTGGATGTATTGGCGGCAGAAGTCAATCAGCGACTGCGATATCATTTGTCCATAGCTGAAAATAAAATAAAGCTTGGTTACTATCGAAATATGATATGCGGGCGCGTGGAAAGATAAACACTTAATGACGTCAGCTAGCGGCAGCTGACACATGAACAAGCTTTAAGTTTTTAGTAATTAGTTCTTAATGCAATCACATCTAGTGTGTCTATAAATGAATAAATTATAGGCAAATCAACCAGATCTACTTACCCATTTAGTGCCAGCTCATCAGCCAGAATGGAGAGCTGCACCACGTAGGGATTGGTAGCCTCGTGCTTGCGATAGTTGACCAGGATGGTGAGAAGGATAACGATGTCATGACCGTGTTGGGAGCGGAAGGTGGGGTCGCTAAGAAGCCGGACGAAGGCATCAAACATGCTGTGCATCATCAGGTGCTCAAAGAGTTCGTTCTGGTTGACGTTATCAGTGCCAGTGACCAGAACCTGAAGCAGTTTCAGGCACATGAAGCGGGCGTTTTCAGGCACATCGCCCAGCAAAATGCGGTTGCAGTACTGCATGAGTAGCTTCAGCCACTCGTCCATCTTCTCGTGTCCGAAAATCTCGTTGAGGATGTTAAACGTGGGATCTGCGTTTGACTTCTTGAAGATTCCGTAAAATAGGGAGCACAGCGTTTGCAGACTGTTGCACAGGCGCTTGGGATGATCTTCTGGAGAAAATCAAGAAATGTATTTTGCTTTCTGTGTGTGAATTAAGACCTACCAGTGTCCAGCATTTCAATGCACCTCTGGAAGAGGGTGTTCAGATTCGGCTTCACCAGTTGCAGCTGCTCGCTGTTGAGTTTACCGATCTCATTCTCCAGCGCTTCGAAGTTTGGCTGCAGCAGGAAGAACTCGTTCCAGAACTCGGGGCTCTCGCTGCTAGGATCCTCGCCCCGGCACAACAGCTCGTATATGTAGACCACCTGCAATGAAAACCAATTAGCCATGCAAGTCGCCGAATCACCGAGGGCGGAGTTCGCAAACCGTCTTGACGAACCTTCTCTTTGGGCCTCTTTGTGGAGCCGCTGCCACTTCGCTTGCGAGAGGTCATGACTGGATCTGGGTACTACTGATCTGAGGAAGTGTTTCAGAAACTCATAGTCTGCTGCTGTAAAAACTATTTGGTTGGCAAAAATAGTGGACAATATTTGACTTGGTGATTAGGTGCGACCATAGGTGTGGGCCTACAAAATACCGCCAAAAGGTCCTACTGCTTTGAGGCACTGCCAACTGCAAGTGTAATTCAAAAGTTTGATACTAAGCTAATAATACGACAAATTTTATTACGTAGTGGAAAAAAAAATTTGTATTGTTTTTGATTTTAACAAAAAAATAGTAGTTAAAAATAATTAAAATAGTAAAAAATCTTTTAAAATGGCATTGGGTCCGGAAAAGTCCACTTTTTTGGCATTCCACCCTAGAACGGTCACTCTGGCCATCAGCTGTTTTTAACACGCAGTAGTCGGTGTGTTTTTCCGTTCTCTTCGAATTTCACAACAATTGGTCTGTTTATTGATTAATTTTAAGTGACACTGACTAGTCCGAGATGTCTCTGGTTCGAAACTCCTCCCGGTTGCTGTGTTCGCAGCTGAAGCGTGTGCAGAGCGTGCCGGTGGCATTGTACCACGAAAATGTGAGTTTTAGAACCACCGCGCATTTCCAATTGCCTAGCGGAAAGTTCTTTCGTAATATCTAGAAACTACATAATATAGATAAGTGCCGCCTTTGTTGTCGTTCAGATAGAAGGCGATTCAGGGGGCACGCAAATTGATAAGATCCCAATGACTAACCGACTTTTGTTGACAGGTCGTTGAACACTACGAGAACCCGCGCAACGTGGGATCGCTGGACAAGAAAGATGTGACAGTGGGTACCGGATTGGTGGGAGCTCCCGCCTGCGGCGATGTGATGAAGCTGCAGATCAAGGTGGACGAGAACGGCAAGATCATTGATGCCAAGTTCAAGACCTTCGGCTGTGGATCGGCCATCGCCAGCAGCTCGCTGGCCACCGAGTGGGTCAAGGGAAAGTCCATTGATGAGGCCGGCAAGCTAAAGAACACGGACATCGCCAAAGAGCTGCGCCTGCCGCCCGTCAAACTGCACTGCTCCATGTTGGCCGAAGACGCCATCAAGGCTGCGCTAGCTGACTACAAGGTCAAGCAGCAGAAGAAGGAGGCAAACTGAGGGGCGGAACGAAAACTGTGAATGTAGTGGAGCGTATCTCTGAACAACCACTAAGAAAACAACAACTATAAGTAATCTACAATACAATACAATACAATATACTATAAAGATACTTGGCATTAGGTCGTAGTATGCGATTATTCGCTAGAGCTCTGTGAGTGGTGAGTCGATTGGATGTGAACACACCGGTAAAGAGAAACTATATAAGGGATGCTAATTAATATTATTATTTTACCGATAGAGCAATCTTAAATTGGAAATTTAAAATGTTATTGACAACCTTTTGTTTATCAGTATTGTAGTTTCTCTTAATCTACTTGAACTGCACTTGAGCCTGATTAATGTTTTGATTTTTATTGCAGATTGGCCGCGTGACTGCTGATAAGTGCATAGAGGTATAGGATACGACTTTCATTGATACTAACGGATAGCTGGAACTGATATTGTATGAATGCATGTCCACGTGTGTATTTAAAAGGGGATTTCAATGTAGTCCCAAGAGCTAATTAAATTATCTGTTCTGTTACGCAAAATATAAGCTTGCTTTGAAAAGTAATAAAGCGTTCCCGTTGGAATAAAAATACATGAATATTTTATTGCACCATTAGATCAATTGTAAATACGAGATGTGGTCATTATTGGTTCTTAGGAGAGACGAACGCTTACTCCACCGCCGCACTCGCCCTTGGACTTCTGCTCGAATGCTGTAAATAAATAAATTCGAATTACATTCTCGGAGCATTTAAGGAGGTGATCTCACGGTCATCGGCGTGCTGGCAGTTGTAGTTGGACATAACACACGGACTGCCAAAGGTGATGAGCTTCTCCTTGTTGCTGTTCTTGGCCTTGGCGCAAATGGGATCATAGACTTCGCCGCAGGCCCTCTGGCAACTGTCGGTGGCCCCCTTTTTGGTGTCCTTAGCCGGAGTGCCCAGAACGAATGCCAACAGGCACAGGGCTAAAGGCGAGTATAAACATTATTAAATATCCAGTAATCCATTAAGCTTTTGTTATAATTCCAGTCCTGATATATGTATGTATTTAGGTTTATTTACCTAGGAAAGCAAACAGAGCGAAACGCATTTTGAATAACAAACGAAATTTCCACGAAATCACAAATCGCAAAAACCGGCTTCGAGTCGCGTTAGAACTGAACTGAATTTTAGACAGTGAGATGGATCACCTTTATATACAAAGCCCGGCTCATGAACAATAGAAAAAACAAGCACAGACACACCTACGGAATATATAGATGGACCGTCGACACATATACGATCCGAATCGTATCTCTCACCTCAACCCACACAGTCGCGGGTTGTGTGAATTAAAAAACAGCCAAGTAGACATAAAGTGCACTTGTTTATCAGCCAGCGGGATAACAATGGCGGGTCAACGAGATGATAATGATGATGCTACAATTTGGATAGATGATGGGTTTGATCAGGCTGGATCTGAGCATGGGCGGTGTTTGAGTGACACGCGTCGCCGGTTGAAAGCGGTTCTAATTATTTTCATTCACTTACCCGCTTTGCGGGGCATCCCACGGTGACATCCCGACAAATATATACTGCCCGTTAGGGAAACATTACGGTGAAATATTTTGTAAACTATTTAATCCCTGTTTCAGTAGTGTACTTGATAGAATATAGTGAACTTTTTTCTCTGTGCAATATAGATTTAATAACAGAAGTGCCCTTGATGTTTCCTATTCCCATTTAGTCATCCGATTTTAATTCTATTTTTAACCCCTTTTCAAATTTCCATATAATGGGTTTGCTAAAAATTTACCAAATTTCACCTGTTTTAAGTCCATAACTTTTCTAATTTTAGTCCGATTTAAATTTTTCTAATTTTTTTTCCAAAAGATCGGTTTGCTGAAAGTGAACAAAGTTCACTAGTTTATTGAAGGTGTCCCCTTCGATTCGTTTTAAACATCTGCCTGAAATTATAATATCCTCTGCAAGAGTATTTTTACTAAGGCGTTGAATTTAACCGTCAGCTTTTAAAATTAATATGTCATTCCCAAAAAGGGGAAATTGACGAACCTTAATTAGACCAATTATACTTTTAAATGACAACATTTTAAACTGCAAACTACAATCGTATATGAATTTTGGATACCTTTATGTTTATTTTCTTCATAATTGCTTTTTAATAGTCATACTTAATTGCTAGCAATAGAAATTTTTTTAATCCAGCTTGGCATTTTAAGAGATTTTCAAAAGGTACTCCAAATTCAACTGGACAGCTGTCGTTTTATTACCCGTCTTAACTTCCATCGTCCTAGGGATAAACCGAAGGCAGGTAGACCCCAAGTAATTGAAACGTATCAACAAGGCTATATTTTCTGATAAAAACCTGTATTCGGGTCGCGTCTTCACTATGCCAAGCCCCCACCCAGAGCTGCGTCTTAGCAAGCCCCGCCACCCAGGGTTGATCAAAGCAGATATCGATTTCTGTATTTTTTTGTTATAAATATTATTTCTGTTTTTCCCAATTTACGTCACTAATTCTAATATGACATGACTTTTTAAGATTCATACACCGCATAAGGGATAGACAAGATGGTTTAAAAATATCACAATAATAACGGCATGGTATCGATGTATCGATGTTCTTATCGAAATGCCGCCGTATCTCGCTTGCTTTCTCGGGTTAATGTTAACGTTTTTGTGGCTGTCTCGCGCTCAGCACCCTCTGATAATCGGGTTACCCGTTCGGGAAAACATTGTCCTCTGTTTACCTGTTTGGGAAATCGTTGTCCTCACGAAAAAGCGCCCTCCAGCGGACAAAAAGAACAGTCAAATTGTTCGGGCTCCTTTACGGACTGACGGACCCGACGTGACACCCTGTTCTTATTCACCACGGCGGCCGACTTCGGGGGGTATATAAACCCGCGCACGTACGTTTTCTTTAGAAAATTGTCATGGTGGAAAATTCGAGAAGAGCGTACCGATGCGCGAAGAACGAGAATAAGCGAAGGAGATAGAGTTATCGATTGAGTTTCTGCTACAAAAATATATATATATGTAACGCATATTGTAAATGTCCTAAGTTAAGTGATAAAGAGATATTTGTGTACGTTTAAATTTGAATCGCGACGAGTACAACGAAGACGTACTGTCAAGCGAAAACAGAAAAGCAAAGTAGCTGCGCAATAGACGGTGGTGTACATAGTTTATCAAAATCCGAATCAGAATCAGTTGAAGTGTGATTTTTTTGAGCCTTGTCGTAAGTGAAGAGAAAGCTTTAAGCGGAATTACATCTATATAAATAATACGAAGCCAGCCCGTCGCCATTTTGAAAGTGATTTTACAATACACCCACACGTATATACACACAACTGTGAGCACACACATACACCCATCTACAGCCCGAAAAAACCAACCAATATCCGAAAAGTTTTAAAGTGAATCAACAAATCAAGGCAACTTTTAACCCAAACTCAACCCATTTTGTACATAACGCTTGTGGAAAATCGGAATCTATAACGAAGTGCTGAGAAAACTGCGACACACACGCACATTCGTCAGTGTGAGAAGGTCTACGGCAAAAAGTAAGTCGCAATTGTGTTAGTGGTCGCTGCGCATGTGTGCGCCGTGTGTGTTGATTCATTAATTCAGGTATTCTCGCAAATAAATGTGTATGTATGCGTCCCTCTGACGTCGCCCGTTTGCGAGAATAGCCAAACAAACAAATACCTTTTGTTGACGTAAATAGCACACATGGACTGCACACATGGGCACGATAATGCAGCCGTTACGTAGTTAGCACTACGTTACAGGTTGTTGCTACCTGGAACTGAGTCGTTACATGTCTTATTTCCCCTTTTCGGGTTCCCCGTTTCTTATTATACATACAAACGCGGTCAGCATAATAGAACTGTAAGGGCTGTTTTTGTAGTTTTGTTCAAAATGTTCAGGTAAAAATGTAAACCTACTTTTCCGTCACTTCAGACTGTCATTTTGTTTTATATTTTTTAGAGTTCGTTTTGAATAAAATCTTTAGTAATCACATTTGCAACCCCATATTGTGATATCGGCAAGGCCGCATTATTCATACTTTCAAAACAGCATTTTAAAAAGGCCGTTGTCGATTCATTAAGCATTCAATGGATTAAACAGAAATAATATAATTTTGTGTACAACCCCTATATCAGTTTTTTTCCTGACCGCTTCTGTATACTTTTCCTTCCAAATGCCCCGCAACAAATGCTCAATATTTTCTTTGCTTTTCTCTACTTTCTCGCTCAAATAACAGGATCAGCACGGCTTGGAATGCAAAAGCAGCAGTTGAATCAGCGGAGAACCGAGAAGAGTTTGCGAAATTATAGCTAAGGATAGCTTAACCAGAGTAAAAGAGATAAATCAACAGACTGATAAACAATACATAACGTTACAAGTAAAACTAAATAAAGTAAAGTAAACAGCAGCTGTACATAAAAACGAGACCCAGGAGAAGTGGAAAGCAGCTACGTGCTCAGCCGCCCGTCGCCCTTTTCGTTTAATTTTGGAATATTGAGGAGGGCATCTTCGGCGATTCGATTATCAGTAACCAAAGAAAACAGAGCGGCCGCAGCTAAACCAACATCGCAGTAGCAGCAGATGGGAGTTTGGTTTCGATTTATAAAGAATTGATTTAAGTGCGTGTGATATTTAACGTTAAGCATTAATTTAGCGAAATAACCAAAAACAAAAAAAGGCAAAACAGCAGAAATTTTAATAGAAGAAGAGAAGAGATCCAGCGATCGGAAAGCGACGAAATTACTATGACATACTCGCACAATAGCGTTAGGAACAACATCAGAATGACAACCGCATCGGCCACCAAGTCCATACGATTAAAAAAGGGAGCATCATCAGCGACCTCCGCATCCAACTCATCTTCCCCCTCGCCCACATCCGCACCCGTGTCCCCCACATCCGTGTCCGCATCCGCACCAGCAACGCCCTTGGTAACTGCACATTCCAACAGTATTGCCAGCAGTACAAATAACGCCCAATTCCTGAGCACCTCGCCCACGAGTCTGGGCCTGGGTCTATCCTCCTTGGCCACGCCCCCCAACCAGAGGCAGCGGCCACTCCAGTCCCAGTCGACCGGATCCAAGGGCAAGCAGCAGCGCCAGTCGCCGCAGCAGCAGGGAACCTCCTCCGGAGGAGGCGGAGGCTTCTTCTTTGCCAACAACCGGCGAAACGGCGGAGGACGTTCGCCCCAGGGAGCGATGCAGGTGCGCCAGTCACCGGCCACCATTTTGGGTGGAGGCTTCTCGCCGGGAATCGGCGGAGGATCGGCTCGCAAGCAAAGGAAGAGCCCGCCGCTGGGCGGTAAGATCTCGCCCCAGCAGATGCAAATGCAAATGCAGCAGCAGCAGCACCCACTCATACCCACCGCACTGACGCATTTTGCGGGCAGCAAGTGCTTTGACGCACCAGCTCCTACAGCGCTGCCCAAGCCACCCCAGCACTGGACCCTGTCCAGGTCGGAGGGCAAACTGCCCCTGACGATGCCGTCGATGCCCAAGTTCCAGGTGCCGATGCAGACGGGCCGCTCGAAGCGGAACCTTCTGGACGACTTCGACACGCACAACCTGAAGCTGCTGCTCAATGTGCAGTCGTAACACCCTTGGTGCTTGAGGATCAATTTCTGTGGCAGCAGCGAAGCAGAAACAGAAACAGGATCTGGAGCAGAGTCCGGATCTGAAGATGGATCTGGAGGACCGACTTGAATGGCCTGAACACCCGGTGGACCCCGAACCCGTCAATGAGTTGCAAAAAATCGAAATGAACATAAAAGAAAAAAAAAAAAATTAACAAAAGATAAAAACAAAAAATGCAAAACGAAAAAACCTTTACAAAAAAAAGCGAAAACAATTCAACTGAAAAATTGAACTTTTTTAAACAAAAAAATACAAGAGTAATGTTTGTGATCTCAAGTGTGTATCATGAAACAATAAAACCAATTTGAGAAGCTATAACAGAAAAGCGAAAAACTGTTTCAAGGAAAGCTGAAAGTAAACAAAATACAAATAAACACAAACAACTGTCCTCACACAACCGACCCATAAAACAACATCAGCAACGACAACGAGAACAAATAAACACAGCAAAAAAGATGCAAAATTCCCCGCTATTAAGAACCCCCCGTCAATCTCCACCACTGTCAACTTCAATGCGCAAACTAAATAGAGAAAGCCAATCGACAAACTGCAACCAGTACAACAACCCATGGAAGCCTGGCTTAAATATACGAAAACCAGATGGAAAGAAGAGGACAAAGGAGAAAAAGTCGAGAAGAGGAAGGAGAACTTTATATGTCTAACAACGGATACTTCACAACTGAACATTGTTTTAAACGTGATACGCAAATAGACTTGAAAATTAATTAATAAGTAAAATTATAAATATAATAATATTTATGAGTAACTCAAAAATGGACGCTAGAAGCGCAGCATAACGTACAGTTTATGTTTATCCCCCGAAAAGCGGACAAAATGTGCAACGTACCTTAAATGTTGATAAAATGAGTAAATACAGAGGGCAAACGCTAACAGAGTATATTCAAGAGACACGATAATACCTAATAACTTATAATAATAATGAAACTACTATAAATCGTATACCCACCAAATCACAAAGACTAATTCAACAAAAACTCAACGACAAAAACTCAACGCAGCCGCCGCAGCAGAGCAGCAGCAGAGCCGCAGCGCAAAATGCATTCAACTTGCCTGAAAAGAACATCTATAACTATCCTCTACCTTAAGATAAAAGAATCCACTATTGTATTGTAATTTGACCTACCTAGATACTTCCATTACTTTTAGTTTAACGTCGCGCGAGAGAAGCAATTGCCCAAAAATATTGAGCTACATATGCGAACATGTGTAATTATTCTTAATCTGTAATTGCGAAATGGCTTTAAAAAATTCTAATTTAAACATTCTTGAATTGTACATAGAAGGGAACAACGCTAAAATGTTCAAATAAAATTTTCTAAAAACGATAAATCGATTAACATTAAGAATAAGACCGATCAGCACTTGTAAAATGTGGTAGCGCGCTATCGGCGCAAGCAAGATTTTATTTATTCCAAAATATGTTTGATCTTGCGCCAAGCGGAAACAATTGTGAAAACAACTAAAAACTACTGAGTTGCAATCCCCAAGCAAAGGCTTTACGTGAGGAAGAGATAGAGATATCGCGAGATGAGAATGATGAAATGAAACTACTTTATGTAACTATTCGTTGATGCTCAATACTGAAACACTTGAACCCAGTACCTTATTTTCATTATTAGCATTACTTATTAATTGTTAATATTGATATGTATGTAAATTATTTAAGCAACCAATCCCTTTCCCGAACCCCCGATCCCAAAACCAATCCAAAGTTATTTGTATTTTGCGTAGAAAGAGGCAGCGTGAGTTTTGTTATGTGTTTTTGCCAAGTGAATTGGCCCCGAAGTGATAAGCCAAAAACAAAAAGAACCCCAAAACATATTTGATAGTGAAAAACCGCAGAAATAAGAACACACTTGAGTTTTGTTTACGCATATTGTTTAACTTCCTGAAACAGCTAAATTATGAGGAAAGAAAGAGAGAGAGAGAAACAGAGAAAAGATAAAACTATAACAAAACACTCGATGATAGTTTTAAACATGTTGAAAAGCCAAAAAAGTCAAGCACTGTTTAGGTTTACTGAGCAAGTTGTCATATTGGTAGCTTTAAAGCTTGTATCTTCAAGTTACACTTCAAGTACACCCCATACATATACCCACTACTTAGAGTATTGATCTGAGCGAAGGTCACTCGAGCAGTGCTCGGGAACTCACCAGCTCACCCCCATTTCCCCCATCAATCACACACCCCACAGAAGAAATCTAAACTTGTCGCGCAGAATTTTGCATTTTTTTTAAGTGTAAGCTTAACGTTTGTTACTTACTGGACGTCGATTTGGGCTGAGAACAGCTTAGATTTCATTGAAGCAGGAGAGATAAAAATGTCTATTTGTAAAAGTTAAAAAAACAAAACCACTAAAAACAGACCAAAACAGGGCCGAATCCCCGCCGCTCTGCCTTGGACTGTGGGCACAAACGTTCCGACCCGTTGACTTTTTCAACACCAATCAGTACAAATTAATTTCCATTTCAAAGTTCGGAGCCCAAAACAAAATCGCGGAGCTCCACATGCGAGTCCAAGGCGTTTGTGCCCCCATCTAAGGCAACTGCAGATTGGCCCCTGAAAGAAAATTCAAATTCATTTTTTTTATTTACATTTAAAGCGTAACGACGACGATTCGACCAAGTTCGAATATTACTTTTAACCTTTTTATTTAAGCCGAAAAATGATTCGTCGTTCTAAAACAATGAAAAGAAAGCAACCAGCACTATGTATTTTTTTAATTTCTCCATTGATCTAATTTACAATTTAATTTGCAATTTTTTGTGATACTTTGCTATATTTTAAAAACCTGGTATATATACAAATTAAAAACAAATACAACTGAAGAGAAAATGTTTAATTAATTACCCACACCAATACCTTAAATGGACCATTAAGATGAATGCGAATATGAAGAGAGAAGTCGCCATTCAATACTGTAATTATAAAAATGATTGTGAAAAAATATGAGAAAAATTGTAAAGCAATATTGGAATTGTGTTTATAAACCCAAGTCAACTTTTAACTTTTGAGAAAAAGCGAATGAAAACCCCACAAAGCCAACCACCAACCAACCACAAAACAATAGAAAAACAAATAAACAATTGTACACGGCTTTCGTAAAGTAATTTATTAAAGCTTTGTATAATTAACAAAAAAAAAACCTCCAAATTGTGTTTTTATTTGCCTTATCACGTACCATTTTTCGTTTGTAATTTTATTTTCAGAGCTAATCGGCCAAGTCCCCCAGATTATAACCCCCCACATTCCAGATGAAGCGAACATGTGCTCCGTAAAATTCCACTACCGAATTTCTCACATGTTTTTTTTTCAGCACGATTTCTAAGCGAGAAATGAAAACAAAACCAGAACCAGAAAAAATAGAAAAAACAAAAAGCGCTTCGCTAGGCGATCGAAACAAAGGCAATGTGCATATAATATATATGTATGTATGTGCGTATATATACATGCATATATGCAAAGCAGCTGCATTTGTGCAGCGATTTCACAAACACCCAGATACATATATGGCGACAAACGAATTAAAATAAAACGATAAGCAACTTTACAGAGCCGAAGGGGTGGATATACCCTTGCCAGCAATAGCAATATATTTCCGATTCCGTTTCAATTTGAAAAACTATCCTAATTGTTCCTATGTTAGTTCTGCATAGAAACCTAAATATTAACATTTGTGTAATCGTAACCGGACCGACACAACATAAACACCTAAAGCGATAAGTACGAATTGTCATTGTGAGTTGAGGAAATTTATATAAGCAACATTTAAGCATTTTATAGATTCTTACACAAGCAGCCAGCATGATAAGGATACATGTTTAAAGGTTTTATTACACCATAACACAAAATAGATACATAAATGTATAAGAGGATTCTATATCTATATATTAATATGAGGCCGAAAAGATCATACCAAAAGAGCTCAGCAAGCATCAAAGTCAAGTTAAAATTTAAGCAACCCAGAAATTGCCTAACGATCAAACAATCAATGTGTAAATCCCCTCTCAAAAACCACTCCAGCCACTCATTAAATCCCCAGATCCCATTCCCACCCCATCCACTTCCCCAAATCCCCTAAAAAGTGAACAAAGAGATAAAAATATTTTCAATGGAACCCCTTCGATGAGATCCAGATACAGTCGGACTTCTCCAACTCGAAATATCTGCTATCAGAAATTTGAATGATTCGAATTTGGCAGCCCAGCTCTTATTTTCAATTGTTTAATTTTGTTGCTAAATATAAAGTCAACACATAAGGCCTTGTTTCAAAATTTTGCTCAAGCTATAAACAACTTATTTTGTTTATGAGTTTCTTAAATTATATTTTCCGTACAGATAAAAAATTCTTTCGTCAACGACAATAATTGACAAATTGGTTCAGAAATGTTGATAGCGAAAAAATTTCAAAACTAATTGGAAAAAATACAAAAAAAAATTTTTTTTTCAAAATAAGAGCTTGTCTGGTAGAAAATAAATTGCAAAATTGGTAATCGAGTTAGGCTAAAAAAAAACTACAATGGAACCCCCAAAAAGAGTTGAACCAAAGAAGGAGGACAGTGGAGAGAGCGGTTTGAATCACTTTAGTTCAGAGGTAAGTGGGCAAAACACGATTATGACTCACTGGCGGTATAAACTAGTATTATCTAGGTGGATTTCTCTAGAGGTGGCTCGAAGAAAAAACAGACGCCAAAAGTCAATTGGTGAACGTGCTCCGAATCACCTCATCTTGCACCTCCCGCTTTACAGAGAAAGAAACGTATTGTAGTTTGATAGCTGATTCTAATCAGTCATTTACATTTATTTAAAAGTGTTGTTTGTTTATCATTTAGTAGGTACTTCGATAAATTAAAGATTTTAATTTCGCAGTGAATCATCAGGCCATTCATCTGTTTTTGTTTCTCTGTATTTGATGTCTCTGGTTTTTAGCTTACCTCTTTGGGATTTCTTTATAAACGATGTCGCAAAGAAAACTGGATTTACAGACAACACACAAAGTTGGCAATGGGCTTCGGTTTTGAATTCGGTGTCGTTGTTTACCGCTTCGCTACGCCTCAAGTACATATGTACGTACACAATTATATACGTACGTCCATATCTCCGATCGAATTGAAAAACGTCCAAAGAATACAAGAGAATAACTGTATGGGTTGTCCATATTTGAGCATTTAAAGCGTTTCCCCCCTTTGATTTTGTTTTATGCTGAGACCCGCACTCTTTAATTTTTCTGTTACGTTTGCAACGATTTCAGGCCACCCCCAAGAGTTGTGTATATGTGTACGTATTTATATACATATATACATATTTATATATGTATGAATATATATGTACAAATATATATACATATTTGTATGATTGGCTATGAGCTTTACTAAAAGTTAAGGCAAATCAAAAGCGTAAACAACTTTGTTTTTATTTCGTTTTCTGTTGCTTCTCTTTTATTTTTTATGGCGCTCTGCTTAAGCTAATTGCAAACGATAAATGGCGACGACGGTAGTGGATTTTTAGAGGGGCCGAGCGGTATGTAGGGGGCTATCTTGCCTCTCGCTCCCACGTCCGCTAGGATTTGCGATTGCGAGAGTTTCTTTTGTTGTTAAAAACAGCAAAAAATAAAACGAAAATCAAGAGCCAAAGAAAAAACGTCTACAAATCATCTGAAACGTGACTTTATGAGAAAGCTTATACCCTTTGACTGGCATTTAAACATACTTTTCCGCTCAAGTAAAAAACAGTTTTAATAGTGAACTACAAATGAATATTTATGGTACCTTTCGATGTTAGATATTAGTTTAAGTTAAGAGAGAGTAACGAAAAATTAATTTTTCAATTGGTTAAAATATTCAAGAGTTCTTATATCGATCATTCCCCACTTTGCGGACGGGGTATCAAAACGCGACGGGGCAAATCAAAAACAAAAAGTTGCGTGCACTGGTCTCGAACTGGGCCTGGTAGATACATCTATCTACGCACTTGGTATCTGTAAGATACACACACACATCCACATACTCACGTTGCCGCCACACGCGCTGTGTGCGGAACGGGATGGAGATACCCATAGAGGGAGATGGACAGATTTCGTATTTACAAGTTTTGTGCGTTGGTCTCTGACGACCCCTTGGCCTCCTACCGCCCAATCCCCAATCCCCACTCTCCAATCCCCACTCTCCAATCCCCAGTCCCCTCGTATTTTTGTACACCCGTATGAGCATACGCGTACAAAGTACGCAAATGCTGAAGAAAATAAAAAAAATCAAAATATAAAAATAAGTTGAGTACACAAAAGAAAAATATTTATTTTCAGTGGATATCCATCCAATTGTAAATTCAAATTTATAACACTTTTTATGATGCAAAAAACTGAATATGATTCAAACACACACATCTAAGATAAGAGAACTCTGCTCGTTCACATTTCAATTATGAGTTTAAATTTTTTCATGTGTAAAAATGTATGTGAATATGTGGAGGCAATCATGTGAGTGTGTGTCAACGGTTATTTTATTTTCTTCTTCTTTTTTGTTTTTGTTATTTTCAGGCAATGGAATAATTTTATTTTGCTGCGCAATTTCTTCTATTGATTCCCCACATACTCGCATTTGTTTTATGCTTTCCTTAGCTGCCCCTATCGCCATGGCTTCCATGATCGCCCTGCTTTGCTTTGATATCATTTTCTATATTAAGGCACACTTTCGCACTCACATCGGACTACTTCGAGGTACATACAAACCCAGATAGCATTCGCACCTTATCGCTATAGTGTACATTATAATTATTATTGCACGCGTAAACAGAAAACAGCGATATGAGTGGTTGCTATTTCACCGGATGATAAGCAAACCAACTAAACAGATGTGAACCCTTGAGAGCGTCGGAAACTTCGGCTACACCCGAAACGGAAATGGCTCAGAGAAGTGGTTCCCAAAAAAAAAAGTGGATGATTCACAAAAACCATGCGGGTGACGGCGTTACCAATGCTTCATCAAATTAAGTTCACAGAGACATTCATGTGGCCCTTCCACGTGGCAACCGATTTGGCAATGGGACACTCTCAGCCAAATTCGTTATACAAACACACTCTTTCAAATATGGATGTAACCATTTCACATTGAAATATATTCGTATTCTTTCGCAAATGAATATTAATGGCGCTTAGACTGTTACAGCTTACACCAATGGCGTGTTGATACCCCATAAAATGTAATTATCTATATATGGTTCTACGAATTCTACCCTTCCACGTGGGTATCGGTTTTCGTTTCAGATAGAGGAAATTACCACTGAACTTTCTAATTAATATTAATTGCGTAGATAATGTAGGTTGAGTTGGTCAAATCATATTGATGAATAGAAATATTATACATTCATTTTAATCAAACTTTTACATGAGAGTCTGCTCCCCAATAAGATTTGTGGTCTGTATTAGTAAGTCATAATAAAGTGAACTCTCTTAGATGTGAACATTATATAAAATTAAAAAAAAATTTTGCGTATGTTATAAATTGCAGCTAAAACATTTCCTGGGTATTAAAAGAGGTTTTTTAACATTAATAGTAAACAATCGTAGTTTAATATTTTTTTTGAAGCGTTCCTCGCTTGGTTCAAAGAACCTACAAGTCTTGAGAAAGGTCATATTAGACGCGATCGCTCAACAAATTAAAACTTTGCTATTCCAAGCACCTTGAAATAATTTTAAGTTGACAATCGTTCACCTCACTGTATTCACTTTTCATCTCAGCGACCACGTGACTTGCGCTTTGTCTGGCAATGGAAAATGCTCCCCTCGCCGAGAGTTCCTCGGCTATTAGAGGAAAACTCATTGAATGGATCTGTTATCGGTCAAGTGGGAACGATGTGATAACCCCGCGGTTAGATAAGCCTGGGAAGCTTGGATGGGTCGGAGTGGTGTGATCGCGAGATCTCAGCTTGGAATCAGTCAAACATTTCCCAGTTCGCCGGCAAGATGTGGTTCCTTACGAGTGCTTTGGTTGTCCTAGGAGCTCTTACTTTGGTTCAGGCAAGTTTTCAAGGAAAACAATTTTCAAGGGGAATCCTTACTCATCTCTGGAATTGCAGGGTAATATGCAGTTCCACTTCTCGCTGGATTTCCATGTGAAGCAGCCCCCCAACTCTACTGATACCATCGACAAGACCATAATAGTGGAGAATAACCAGATTTCAATGGTGGACAACGAAGGGACGACTACGAAATCTCCGATGAGTCAGTGGACGGATCAGGATCAGTACAATCAGATCACCCTGCAGAAGGTGATCGATACGCGGAGATCCGTTCAGCAGCTGAATACGGAGCTATCTCCTTTGGCGGGCAGGAGTACCGATCTGGCCAGGAGAATCAAACAGAGTCTGCGTTATGTCAACGATGTAGACGCTGCCCTAGAGGATCTCACCAACTTTGGCCAGCTGGTGGAGCTGCTGAGAAAGTTCGTCAGCCTGGTGGATAACCTCAGGGATCCCAATAATTTCGGAGGAATCCGCAGCCTGGAGTACGTTCTCCTAAAGTTGGCCTTGGAGAAATACGATCTACTCAACAAGCGACAAGAAATCGGAGGATTTTTGGATAAAGCGGAGACCGCCTGGCAACGATACCAAAACACGCAGGTGGTTCTCCTGGATAACTCCACCTGAGCCCAGCTCATTTTACTAGGTTTTTAAGTCTTGCAGACCTTGTTAGGAGTATAATTTTAGGATAGGACAGGACAAAGACCAGCATCTTTGGACGAGACAATCACTGCACCATCATCTGGGGCGGCACGGCCCTTGAAAGGAATAAAAGACTTTTAAGGGACTTCCTGTCTATTATTCGGTTTCACTGCAATGCCCAGAATTACTACAGGTATACGAGGAGAGAGAGAGTGTCAGGGGTAGTACCCTAAATCTGCTTCGGTGCCCCGTTTCGTTAAGGCTAGAAAATACGTTACACACGCTGGGAATGCCTTGATGCACTGCCAAAAAATTATTTGTTAAGCCAATGATGAAAATATTCAGTACATCAAAAAATAGTTTAATAAGTATTTTTATAAATCGAATTGAGAATTTATTAGCTATAAAGCTTAAAAAAAATACAATATTTGTATGATTTGGTGAGATAATTTTTTATCAAGGTACTTAACTATATTTGAGTGACAGCGAGTAACTCTTTAAGCGGTCAGCATATAAGCAATAATAATTTGTGATAATATACATATGTAGGTGTAGATTCGTGTAGATTTTTACCCGAAACATTCGTTTTGTGAGTATAAATTTAAGAGTGAAATATCAGTTTACTTAAGATTTTTTTTTTTAGTGCATTTGCCCGCTCTTCCATTCAGCAGATGCAGGTAGTCCGATCCGAGGATCTAAGGGAGAATTTAATAGCGAACAACAGCTGCCAGAGCCGTTGCTAATGGGTGAAGTGGAGGGTAGGGTCCCGATCAGAGACCAAAATTTCCGAAACCCGAAACAACCACTACCAAAAACCATATGCAGTTAAGTGGGAAACGGGATGGGGGACTTTGAGAAAAAACATATTCATCGAGACGACGTTACGAATAACATTTGTTGTGTGGAGTTGGGGGCGGGTTTTCGGGGTAACGATTTCATACCCCCCATAGGAGGTTCCTCGGGAACTTCCAACAGAGTGGAACGCTTGAAATCGACACCGAATTCAAATCTCTGAGTTACCCTTACGGCTTCCTTAACGGTTTTCAGCGATTTCTTTTCTGCTTTTAGGGGTGTCGTCTGAAGTATCGACTTATAAATACACGCGTACAACCCATAAATTTACCTTTGTGTTGAGCAAAAACCATGAAGAAATCTGTATACATAATGGAAACTCGATTGGCATAAGAGGGACAAGCTGTATGAATACAGGTTTAAGCTCTTTTTTATCAACATCAACCGAAACTGGTCGAACCGCTTTGGACCACAGGCCATCCGATGGCTTATGTATCTTTTTGACAGTTTATGTTTATACTAAAATTTCGCTGCAGGCGATAAATATGTATTGGGACAAGATCCGGACTAAAAAAGGGATAATTCTAAGCTTGAGAAATGGTGAGGAGCAGAACAAAGAATTGGTAAGGGATTCTTATTCTAGTATACATATGTACTCGTATCTAAAACCGCGTGCTGCAGATGCACTCAATTTTAAAAATAAAAACAAATTGATTCGAATTTTACAATGGTAATAAACATTTTATTATTGCCATACGTACTTAATTGGAACGCCCTGAACACTTATTGTGCGCAAATATTATAAAATTAAATATTTTATTTTTCTATATAATCAAATAGTCACTGACTTATCAGTACTTATCACAACAAAGGTTCAAAATGAAACTAATAAACTCTTAGCATTAAAGGCACAGCAATTAATGAACGAATCATTTTTATTTTGTGTGTATGTTAAAAAATATATTTTGATTTTCCCGCCTTGTTTATTAAACCGATGAACGATAACGATGGTTTATTCTCCTATTGGCCGTGTTAACATGATGTTACCTACAGCCACTCGTAATATAAATGCAAAACCCAAATTTGACAACCATAATTATTATTTCTCAATTTGGTTTGAAATTCCGCAGTATTTTTAAAACCTCGATTTGAAAGTCGAGCTTGCGGTCGGGGCACATCCGTTGCATATGGGGCTTAATGGTGTCGAAGAAAGCCTGGTCGGGATCAGCAGTTACGGATGCCGGGGCGGTATTTGTACTGCAGGGTGGATCGACACACTGTGGGAGGGAGACAATTTCCGGTGGCGCTGTATCTTCCCTGGTGTATGTCAGATCTCCCAGAACCGATTGCAGGCTGTCCTGAATTGTTGGGCTATCGAGGGCAGGTTCTGGAGTCGTTTCCTGCCCGAAGTTTCTTCGCTTAGGGGTTTTTGCAGTTCTCTGGACGGCGCACAAGCGTTTTCGTTTGGCCTGCGGCTTGGGATCCTCCTTCAGCGGCTCCTCCTCGTCCTCCGTCTCTGCTTTCACGTCCAAAAGGAAGCTGAGCTCCTTTTCGTAGATGTAGGAGGCCCTAGCCGCCTCCTCCCCGCTTTGGCGCAGCCGGTTCACCCGCAAATAGCTGTCCCTAGTATTTTTCCACCGTTTGAGCAGGGTCTTCACTATGATTGGAAGAAAAATGTAATATGGAGTTGAAGGGAACCAATATGTTAAGGAAAACCCACCGATTTCCTGCTTCTCCGGCTCACTGGAGGCCGCAAAGTTTGAGCATAGTTCCTGTCCAATTTGCTGCCAGGCCTGATCCCTTAGTTCCCGGTTGTGGAAATTTGGGTGCTTCCTCTCCCAAATAATCGAGCGTTTGTGTACCGCCTCAATGAACTCGTACATCGAGTAGCGCAGATTGTTGCCCGCCGATCGCAGGACCTTGTGATTACCCATTATTTATTTTGTTTGTTTACGGACGGATTGGATCAACAATTAAATTCTGTACGCGCTTAACAGCACGGGCACCGCCTAACAGCACTTGTCAAAGAGTTGCCACCTTGCCCCAAATTTAAACTTTCAAACGTTGCTGTTATGTTATGAAAATAGGTTTTCAATTTCGTGTTTTTATTATTAAACATATACAGATAGGTCAGTAGATTATTGTTGCTGTTGTTCTGGCTTCAAAGCGTGCGAAATGCGAAGGTATGACCGAGTAATACGTGTACGTGTTAAATTAGGAGAGAAATGCAAGTGAGTTTTGATGATTAAGGTGTAGGGATCTCTGGACTTCTGAATGATTCTATTTACATGGGCCTGCCCATGCCGCGACCCATGCCCATGCCGCCGCCCGCCATCGGTGGTTCCCCGGCCTTGGGGCTCTTTATTGTCTCGTCGACAGAGAGGATCATGCAGGCTGCCTCGGCGGCCGCCGTTAGCGCGTTGATCTTGATGATCGACGGCTCCCAGACGCACTGCTCGTAGTTGTCCGAGATGTCCTCCTTGGTGATGTCGACGCCGAACCACTGGCCTCCTGCAAAAAAATAGGTTACAAACGGTAATCAGTATGGGTAATATTAAATGGTGAAAAACACTTGGAAAGTTTATATATTTAAATACATAAACCCGCCAAAAAAGAAGCGAGCCTGCAGTTTAACATTTCGAATTCCCCAACGTAACATTACGCCCAGGTGGCAACGTAGGACACAGCCCGCGCAACAAACGAACCAAAGAGGTGCGAAAGAGCACACACTACAGCACATGTGACTCGAGAGAGAGAGGGCGAGAAAAAGAGAGGTCGGGAAAAACACGCGTTGTTGGCGAACATTTTTCCACTGTTTACAAGATTTTAAAAGGAAAACTAAGTGCGAGATAAAATGATAGGTTCCGGGAGAAAGCGCAAGCAGCAGCTAAAGCCGCGCCAGGATGAGCACCGGTCGCCGGTGAAGCGACGCAGCGTAGACATCAAGTCGGAACCTTTGGACGGTTATCCGGCGTTGGCGGACTACGATTTGAGCACGGCGGACATCAAGCCGGATCTTACGGAATTGCAGCTGCAGCTGGCGGCAGAGCAGCAGGTGACCACCAGTGTCACTCGCTCAGAATTGGATCAGCAAGAGAGCGATTCCGACGAGGATGGCTACTCGGAGTTGAATTACCAGTCGGCAGATGTCTTTTGTCAAGGTAAGCAAAATCCCCTCGTCGCCCTAATCATAAACTTACATAATTCTCTTTCTTCTTAAAAAAAAGATGAGCCCGATGACTACGATCCGGAGTGGAGTAGCCAACAGATGGGCTCGAGACTACTCTTTGAATTCTCCACCCCCAGCCAACAAACTGGGTTGAAAGCAGCCAAACGCTTTCAGTGCCCGCAGTACTACTTTACCCAGCTGCTGGGCAATCGTGCCAGTTTCTTTGAATCTCTGGCTCAAAGCTGTAATCAAAAGGGGGGAGCAGAAAAAACGAAGCCTACTAATGCCGAAGAAATTGCAACCTTTGTTGGCCTCTCCCTGCTAATGAGTGACCTGAAGCTGGAACACCTCTCCGATTACTGGAGCAACAACATGTTCTACGGCTTTGTAGGATTCAACGAAAAGATGTCTATCGAGCGCTACCGCCAGTTGCTAAAGTGCCTAAACTTTGATGCACTAAATCCCCAAACGGGAAAGGCAAAGTCGAAGGACTTTCCACTTCTAAACTTCATTAACGACCGCATGGCGGAACTGTATGTTTGTGGCCAGCAACTGGTGCTCAATGAACCTATTACGCTTTGGAAGGGTAGATTCAGTTACCAAGACGATCTGCCCAAGAAATTCCGCAACAACTTGCTGCTGCTGCACATGGTAACCGAGCAGAGTGGCCTGGTGGTGAAGATTCGGCCGGAGATTGTGCAACAAAAGGACGCTCAGGCATGGGTTCGCAATTCCCGCCAGTTGGTAGAGCACCGAAATGAGTTGACCCTAAAACTAATGGAAGATTTCCAAGGAGGACGGACTGTGTATGTCTCGAAATTCTACGGTAGCTATGGACTGGCCTACGAGCTGGCCAAGAGGAGCACCTACTGCACTGGGCTGCTCGACAGGAACCGATATGGCAATAGCAAAGCTCTCGTGCACCAGCGGTTGGATTCCAACAGTATCGCCACCAGCTATGCCACGTCCTTGATGATGGCCAAGTGGCAACGTCGTTCCAAGAGCTTGTATTTCTTTAGTTCTGACTGTTTGGCCATTTACGCCAAGGAGTTGTCGTTGCAGAAAAAGAACGCCAGACCCAAGTTGATTCAGGAGTTGGACTGGCAACTGCAACCTGGCAGCGAGAGTCGCCAGCACCTGATCCAGTACCAACCCACCTGCCAGGATCTCCCGGCGGACAAGAAACTGGTCATCTTCCTGCTCAATATTCTCGTGCACAATGCTTATTTGCTGTATTTGGCCAATGGCCAAGGTCCGCGAGGCGGACACCTTAAAAGCTATGCCGAGTTCCGTGTGCTGATCATCAAGTCGCTGCTAAAGGAAGAAGTGGTTAACGTAGCAGTCAGTCCCCAGAAGTCAAAGGAACAAGAAAAGGTGAAGGAGAAACCGGCGCCCGAGGCCAAGGTAAAGGCTATACGACACGAACCCGTAATCATTCTGCATAATGGAAAGCCAGCACGAAAAAACTGCCGCCACTGCCACAAAGGCGGAATGCTGCAGTTCAGCAAGATTATGTGTAACTCCTGTCCGGACAAGCCCGGTCTGTGCCAGGAACCCTGCTTCCGGCTCTGGCATGACCAGCTCAAAAAGTAACCGAATAGACAACTATGTATACCAACTGAATAAATTGATAAAAGTAAACTTCAATGGAAGGAGACTTATAAATAAAAAATATGTTTAAAGCAACAACTGGTTGGATATAAGGGATCCAATTAAGCAACAATAAATTTGATATGAATAATTTTATCTTTTCAAGAAATGGCTTCACTGGCTTCTAAATAAATCCTTAAACGAATTTAAATGTTAAATGAAACTACACTATTTCGGATCCAATTTGTTTTTTTAAAACTGTTAAGGTGGCTTCAAGTTGTTAAAGATTTTTAGAGACTTACCCTGGGCGTGTTTTTGCCGCAACTTGTTGAGAATGTTTGTGGCGTCAAAGCCGGCGTTGTCGCACAGCTGGCGCGGAATGACCTCCAGACCCTTGGCGATGGCGGCGATCAACAGCTGCTCCTTGCCGGCAATAGTGCGCGAGTAGTCACGCAGCACTTTGGACAGCTCCATTTCGATGGCACCGCCTCCGGCAACAACCGAGTCGTGCTTAATGGTGCGTCGTACAATCATGATAGCGTCGTGAAGCGAACGCTCCGTCTCCTCCAGGAACTGCTCGGCACCGCCACGCAGAATCAGGGTGCTGGTCTTGGCGTTGGGACAGCCTGTCGGAAGAAAAAATTAATTAACTTAGCTACCTTAATCCTTTTAAATGTTTAGAACAAAGCCTTACCTTGGAAGAGGTTGAATCGCTCACCGCCCACCTGGCGCTCCTCAAAGTGGTCGCACAGACCCAAAACACTGGGCTTAATGTCGTTAGCAGTCGTCATGACAGCTCCACCGCAGGCCTTCATGGTGCGCTTAAGATCCTCCTCAGGAACGCGACCGGCGCAGAAGATGTCGCGGTCGGCGAAATACTGAGTTGCGACATCGCCAATTGGCAGCTTGGAGAGCACAACATTGGCGCCGGACTCGTGGATCTTGGCCAGCTTGTTGTAGAGGATCTGCCACTCGGCGTCAACAACCTTCTGGTACTCCTTGACGTTGTCTACGCGGATCTCCGCGTTATCGCGCTCCGCCTTCAGCTCTAGTTCGATGTTAAGCAAGGCGATCTTGCACTTGTCATAGGACTTGGGAGCCATCTCGAAGCCGGCATACGAGAAAGTCTTCTTAAAGGCGACACCCGACACCAACTGCGACTCCTCCAGAGAACCGCCGGTCACCTTTTTGATTCCAATCATGTTAAGGGGCAGCAGCTCATCCAGCGAGAGCACGGCATCTACCACGATGCGGGAGAAGAAGTCCTTCTGTTGGTGAATCAGCTTCGAGGACATGGCAGTGGCCGCACACTTTTCGAGCAGAGCTCGCTGGTCCTCCTTCGATTGCTCGACAATCTGGACGGCCATCTCGTTGATCTTTTCCATGCAGAGCTGCAGTGCCTTGCGGATGGCCTTGATGATGACTCGCGGGTGAACGCCCTCCTCAACGAAAGGTTTAACCTGCTTCAGGAACTCACCAGCCAGCAGAACCACGGATGTGGTGCCGTCGCCAACCTGTACAAAGGCGAATCAAAGCTTTAGTTGAGAGTCACGTGCTTTTGGGCAACCACTTACCTCGGCGTCTTGTGACTTGGCGATGTCCACCAGGGTCTTGGCTGCAGGGTGGATGATCTCCAGCAGCTTCATGATTGTGGCCCCATCGTTGGAGATTGTCGCCTTGCCCTGGGCGTCCACGATCAGCTTGTCCATGCCCCGGGGACCCAGGGTGGTACGCACCGCGTCCACGATCGACTGGCAGGCATTTATGTTGGACACCAGCTGCGGCTTGCCCTGCGACGTGTCGGTGCCTTCCTTCAGTAGCACGATTTGCGGTTGCTAATGGATCGGGCAGACAATTCGAAATATAAGTAAAATACTCCAATTAGTCAGCAGATGTCGTCGGCTTGCGAGAAGCTTCTTTGCAGGTTATGTTTACATTCGCATGCCGCTCGCAAGAGAGTCCTTGATTTGGACTCCCTCTGCAGTCCTTGGGTTATTTGCAGGTGCACTTACCATATTTGTGTGATGGGGCTGACCGATTCGACGTAAAACTGTTTAAAACAACGAATTTCCTAGCAGACAGGCGGCAAGTTGCTTTTCGTTCACGTTTTCCGCGATGAGTAATGGCGCTATCGATGCATCGATATTATTCGACTTCCAATCGATGTTAGCGGCTAGTGTGAACGTTTGTGACGGACTTGGCGCATTTTAAAAAGAATTATAAACGTAAATCAAAAAAAGGTGTCTACATAAATTGAAACTAGATATTATATTATTAACGCATTCACATTTCCTAAAAATGTTTAACACGGTAAGTGTCCAAAACAAGGGAAAACGATATTTAATTCGATTACAATTTTCGATACCTCGTGACGTCACTGTTGACTTGTGAGCGGTTTTTTAAAATTGCTCCTAACTTCAAATATAGATTTGTGATTCTTTCTATTTATAAAGATTTGGCGATGCACGCACGCATGTCGCTTATTCCATTTTAGAATGTGCGCCGCATCTTTAGTTTGTTCCTACCGCTCAACTTGAGTGAGTTGTGCACCGAGCAGCAATTAGATGTAAAATAAAAGAGTTGATTAAAGGCTGCAACCGCCAGAACATTCAACCGCAATTAGGTTCAAATGGAAACAGGCAGTCTAAATCTAATTCGGTCATGAGGAATTGGAATTTTAGTTGCCCAAGACTCCTCCTAACGACGACAACAGACCACAAGAAATGTCAATGGATGCCTAGCCAAAAAATCGCGGAGTGATTACGAAACATTACAGGATTCTGATTCTCGGAAAACCAACAATGAAAAGTGCAAATAGTGAGTAAGTAAAGTGAATTACAGCCAAATGATGATAAGGCATACATGCAGAGTGCAAAGTCTGTTTCCCTATTGTGATTTTATTTAGATTTCCATTCTGTTGACAGACTGGATTCCAAATGTGTTCTAATTGTGTCCATCATTCATCGTGTCGTTAAGGCGATTGTCAAATTTGTGCGTGATTTGTGAAGTTTCAGCTGTTGGGAAATGACCCCTAACACATAGATATGAATACTGAGGGCCAAGAATTTGGGTTTGGATTTAATAGAATTTTGTAGATAACAAATGGTTCATATGAGCCAACCAGGTGTTTAAGAATTATGCTTTATAAGTCTGCAATGTGCACGTTTTAACAGCTATAATGTCACGTCTTTAGATGAAAATGTATCTTTAACTAGCACAAAAGCTTGGTATAGCACCAAATACCAAACTAGCCACTTAACTTATGCGGAAGCGTTTAAGAACATTCAATTTCAAAAATGTTCCGAAATAAATTTTTTTTTTTGGTGTAAAATAACAAATCGATTAAACTTAAACTGGAATAGATATTAAATGTCGGGAATTGATTTCAATTGATCATCACTAAAAACATTTTTTTCGGTGTGCCATTACTTTGACCGAATTGGAAGCGGGTTGTGTGTATATTTTGGTTATTAATACGCGAGCGGCGGGTTTGTTTTTGTTATGAATACGAGAACCGGGAGGAAAACGAATTCAGCTTTCCATAAATTGCCTCTTCCGGCTTCACTTCGGCCATTCTTTGGGGCACGCACATCGGCCTGAGCTTTGCCACCCCGTATCCCCAAGAACTGCATCGGCAAATGGCAAAGCTCTTTAATTAAATGGAAATGAAGGCAAATGTGAAAGAGCTTGCGAAAGCTCGAGGGGCCGAGTTAGTCAATCGGTGTCCGGCCGAAACGAAAGATCTCTGCTATCGCCGAGCAAACGAAATTTTACCTAGTATAGAGCACTTCTTTTAATTTATAGTTTAAATTGATTGCAAATAATTAAGATACTCCCCAACGAATCGAACATAACTCACTTTTATTCCGACGAACTTGTGTAACTACTTAGAAATATTGCGCGCTTCCTGCAACGAACTCTATAAACTATTTGAAAGAAATATAGGAATTTTTGCGAAACAATTGTCGAAGAACTGCTCCACATACCGACAATATTCTACTCGGTCTGTGCGCGAAAAGAGTCTATTGAAAATTAACGTATTGACGTCATTACACTGCAAGAAACAGTGGCAAAGAGGCAGTAAATTAACTGTTTACATTACAACATCGTCGGGCGAGTGAGTGAGTGAAAATATACAAGTTTGAGGCGAACCAAACATTGGTCTACGACGCCCAAGGATTTCAGAGCTAATGGTGCGTATACGTGATCTTCAGTGATTCAGCAGCAAAACTGTACACTCGTCGTCTGGCCGACTCATCGTTTGGCAATATTTTCAAATTGATGTGTGTCAGAAAATATACATGCTTAAAGAGCAAAAAAGAGACTTTCATCTGCCCATGTGTACAGTGGATGGAAATCGAGTGGGTGGCTTCGCTCGAGCAAAAACCAATCCCATCCAAGCCGGTCACATCGAGGCTGTGATGTCACCATGGCGTGTATGTCGTCCCAAAAACACTTTATTAACGAGTTGACTGGGGGCAGCGGTTTTTAATTTAATTAAACTAAATGCAACATGAGAGCCATTAACTTTCACAGCCCGAAAGCGTTAAAGAGTTCAAAAGTAAACTTTGAATTGTAACCTACACCTCAAAATGCATATTATTTCCATTCAGATGGCCACATGCGAAACTTAATATCGCATTTGGGGGGGGAAATATGGATATATATTACTCCTGGCATGCATGTTTTTAAACATCAACAACAAAGTTAATCCCCTAAAGTTCTTACATTGTTCTAAAAAGTAAAATTTATAGGTATACAGTTCGCTTGATTTATGTAGGTAACAAAAAAGTAATAAACTCGAATACCACCTACTTAAAATCGGTCCCTATTGCCTCCTAATGGAGCTCGCTGGAAAAACAAATCAAATTCCAATTAAGCGCCAGAAGGTTGCTAAGTACACACATCTGTGGCTCTACATATAGAAAGATCGCGGCCTTGATAAAGATGATCGGATCGGGCAGAACTCTCGGAGAGCATTATATTATGAACTGAGGGCCCCACTCGCGTGTGCACCCATACAGTACATATAGATGCTTTGTTATAATCTTTCGGCGGATGTGGGAGCAATGCAAAGAATTCTGCTCTAGAAAACAGCAATGAAAAACGCTTTTATTGCGTGTAAAGAGCCCCCAGAGGGGAACCTGAAAAAACACATGTACATCGTTCCATTTCAAAGGCGCGCCACATGACGTCATGAGGAAACGCCATTCGGGACCAGTTTATTTGGTAAACCCAGCGCAATTCGCACAGTAAACTATTTCCCAGTCCCAGGGTGCCCATAAGTTTCGTTTCATTCATGTGTGGCCCTACCCATTGTGGCGAAATGAAAAGAAAAGCTTTTCCGTGGAAATCAATAATGGGGGGATACTTGTTGATTAGTGCGGGCCAGCGAAGAAAAACGCTGAGAAGTCAACGGCTAAACAGAAGCCATTGAAATGCAGCCAGACAAAGGGGAATCTCCGCGTTTCAGAAGAAGAAACAACCTCCTTGCGGGCAAAGACTCGGATTTCTGAAATACTTGTCAAGGCGTCCATGTATTGAAATCGTAAAAACAAATACAGATAAAATTTTCTCAGTGAAATTTTGGTGGTTAAGCTTCACTATGACTGTAACATTTGATGTATTATTCGTAGATTATGATATCAGCTTTGATTCATTTAAATATGAGTTATCTATTATAGCAAAAAAAAGGTGATATGTGGATTAGGGGAACGGATTTTATGAAGTTTATTTATTTTTTAAAAAGAAAATGAGAATTTTCTAACCTGGAACCATACTTTATTGTTCTATTGTTCTTTTTTATTTCCGACTTTATAAATAATTCTCTTTTTTCAGATTGAGGAGAATCCAACGACGACCAGGTGAAGTATAGCAGGGACTTTCGGCAGGGTCGGATCGCACCGCATATGCAGTACTTGAAAAAGCAGAAACAAAAAAAACGACGGCAACATTTTTATATACTGAAGTTACATAAAAATGGCTGAAAACCAAACAAAAACGACCTCTAGCAAGGGATGCAATGTGAGCAGGACCTCGAATATCCTGGCGCCCCACAACGGGACTGTGCTGCGCAGGATGGATCCTGGCTCCAAACTTACACAGAGCCTCCACACGGAGAAGCACGAACTCGAAGACTGGCAAACGATGGCCAAGAACAAATTGAAGCGCAAAAAGAAACTTAGCACCTCCCTGACTTCGGTGGGGGACACGGTGAACCAGGAGAAGCGAACCCGCATCGAGGGCATTCAGCTTCACTGCCGCGGCAAGTTGCGGCCCAAGGACACAGAATCCTTCGAGACAGAAAAGCTCCCATCCACAGGATCAACCAAGCCAACGGGAAGCGTTGGAAAAGAGCGGGAACGAGAGAGGCCCGTAATTATTGGTGGCGTAACGACCAAAAATGCAGCACCTCCGCAGAGGATAAAGAGAAAGCTGCAGGAAAACCTGGACACCATCCAGAAGCTAAACGCTCTGACTGAGCAACTTCGTCTGGAGGTAAACGAACTCAAGTCCAGCCTGATCACAGAGCGCGGAGCAGTGAGGGCCTTAAGGTGAGTCCTTGATGTTTACTCAAAAGGGTTCTATTGAGTACTATAGTAAAACAAAAATTAACCCACTTAAAACGTACATAAATATATTTCAAAATAAGTTGTTAAATAATAGCACATGCGAATAAAATGTATGGTTGCACTGCGACACTATTGACCTTAGATTTATTTTAGTGACGATCGTCTATCAGTAATCTTAGAAAACTAATCTGTCAACCAACAAATTTGTGCATACATATGTAAATAAATCTGTTTGTTTCACAAACGTTTTGTCATGGGTGATAAATTTAAAAGTGCTGCTTTTATACGGTAACATCATATTTATTTATTATTTTTAAACTTTGAAATGAAATCATTGGACATTACATTTTACTGAGAATCTTGGGTAGATAACTTGTTGTAATATAAATATTTATGATAGTGTAAACCTTTAATTGATATCCTTTGTTTATTCACCAGGGCTCAAAACGACGCAGACAATCGTCGGTGGAAGAGCGAGGTGAAGAAGCTGCAGCACTCCCTGGAAATTGCCAAGAAGAGCAATGGGGCAAAGAAGCCCGTGGAATCAGGCCCAGAATCGAGCGGCACTCACGTGACCGCCGATGGCCTCATCAACTACGAAATCCAAAGACTGACTAACGAGATTGCCGTGCTGAAGGAAGCTAATCGAAGCAAGGAGGAGAAGACCCAGGTAAGGCGATGCGAATCATAACCGAAGAGTTCGTTGCATGTTGCATGCGATGCTTAGTGGCGCCGCTTTGTTACCGCCCAGTTGTAGTTGTGGGTCAAGTGCTCCCAGAGCAGCACCATGCATGCCACCCCGATCCCCACCAGCCAGAGGGCGAATACGGCGTGAAAGTGCTCCAGCTTGAGGACCACAGGACCTTCCCTGCTGCCCCGCCTGCGGTTCACCATTTTCACGCCCGATTTGATGAAGGCGGAGTTCATGATGCGGTCCCAGTAGCGCTCGAATCCGAACTCATGCGAACTCCGGATGAGCGAGTTCAGGAATCCTAGGTAGGGCGATCCGTAGGGTACGATGTAGACGGCGTGAAAGGGCACCAGGCAGCTGTTCATCAGGTGGAAAAGCGGTCGACCCAGGTGCATGTGCATCCGGTTGTTAACCTGGAAACGGCCAATGTGGTACTTCTCCAAATAGGCATATCTAGGGGTTACAAATGGGGATATCAACTGTTGATTATCAAATTGTAATTAAATAAAAGAATTAGGTTCAGTGGTGAATTCAGTAACTGTGTTTAGGAAATGTGGAGTCAGTAGTCTTTAAAATGTATTCTTATACCTTACGTCGTTGTGCTTCAGCATTTGGACCATTTGTTCATCGGGAACCACCAGCATTTGCTCCCGGATCCTGGCCTCGTGCTTGTGGCCCAGGGTCAGGAAATGCTGGATGTGCTTCACGTGTCTGGGGCGAAGGAGGATGTGATACTGCGACTTGGCCAAGGCATCCAACTGGTTTATATCCGGCAGGTACGGCTGGAACACCATCATGCTGGTCAGATTCCCCTTGAACGCCGAGCAGATGAGCAGTCCGAAGTAGAGCCAGAAGATCAGGAAGAAGCGCAGCGAGTTGTTCAGTGGGATCTGGGTCATGGGCATGGTCAAGGCCCCGGCAAACAGCTGCATGGGAGCCCCGCCCACTCCAGTTCGCAGGACATAGCAGAAGGCATTCGCCACCAGAACAGAGGCTAGAATCAGGGCCCAAACCGATGTTCCAAACGACCGGAATATATTCCAGAAAGTGGGAGCCGCCTTGGCTTTCGGCACGATCACACAGAGGTCGTCGCGCATGTGGGACACCGTGCTCTCCGCCAGCTTCTGGAAAGTGTCCGGAGCCAGGAAGCGTATGTTCATGGCCACATCCACGTACTCCTTGGCCACCTCCAAGAAGCAGATGTCTGAGCTGAGGTTGTGCTTGTTGTAGGCGTGCGGGCGGGTTATCATCATGGTGGCATTCAGCCTCTCGGCCACGTAACCCGCCAGCAGCCCATCCGTTCCGAGGAGCAGTCCGTGCTGCCAGAAGATCGCCCTCACGTCGTCCTTGTAGATGCACATCCTCAGGGGCTTCCTCTGCATGTTGGGTATGGTTTTGGGAAAGAGCTGCTCAAGGGTGGGCAGTCCATCTGGTTCGTGCTCCACCGGAATCAAGTAGTTGTCCGTGAACGGGTTGTACCGATACGCATTGATGCGGTTGTCTCGCCAGTAGAGGATCACGATGTTCAGCAGCCAGATCTTCCAGAACTGCCGGAAGCTAGCTCGCATCCAGGCATCGGAAACCGTGTCGGCATCTCTCACCAAGAGGAAAACATGCGACCGGTGCTTGGCAGCTGACTTTTTCCGGATGAGCGACAGTTCCAATGGCTGCGAAATGTTCGTGATAATCATCACCATGTACATGAGTATCCCATCATCTTTGACCGCTTCCAGTGGTCCAATTTGATTTCTGGCAAGACATAACAATGGAAATGGTTAAGAAATTATTTCCATACTTGTTAAATTATTATTTATTTAAAGAAATTCTTTATAAAGATAATAGCTCACCTCAGCGAAATGTAGGATATGTTGCACTTGGTCACCTCCCTTAGAATTTGACCCGTGTGCTCATGCGATGTTTGGTTCTCAAAGTAAACAAAGAGCACTTTGATTCTGGCTTTGCAAAGGATCTCACTCGTTTTGACCATAAGATGGGAGGAATTCCTTTGGTTCCTTATCGGAATACCTGCCCAACTGTAATGGGCTAGGATTACCAGGAGCAGGAGCTGTCTTAAACACTGGATGGACATTGCAATGCCAACTGTTCAACCATTGCGATGACCCCTTTGTTTTTATACCCAGAGCCAATTTCAATATAGCAATTTCGTTAATGCTCGCCATATCGGCAAATATTAGGCAAATATTATGCCATACCTTGGCACTTCCCATACCCTTCGAAGGATATTTTAGTTTAAGTGAGTGGTTTTAACTGTCACTACTTTCCGGCTAATTCAATCATTTGTTTTGTTTTATTAAAGTAGATTCATATTCTTTCCGGTATTTATAATTTATCAAAATATTGATTTTTAACATTTATTTGGTTAAATCTCTAGTTTATAACTATAAATTTACATATGAAAGCAACACTGTTTAGTGATCTAGAATATCCAAGAATTTAGCGAGAAGCGTGTCACATTATGAGCACCCACTTAAGTGAAAGTCTTTAGTGGTTTTCTATGTTTTAATTTATTTCACCCTCTTCTGTTTTCAAATGCACACCTTATAAAGGGTATGGATTTCTTCGGCAGGGCCAAGAACTTTCCATTCTCGTTCTTTTTGTAGCCTTTTTTCTGTGTTTTTGTGTCTCGTTTGGTTAATGGATGTGCGACCTAATCGCAAAGTGCAAACTAACCGCATGGATCAACTTGCTTTCCGCCCCGCCCGCTGCTGCCGCTTTGAGCCGCAAGTCAGAAAGTTGGCAACACGCATATACAAGTGATTCGACCATTTCTTGCAGATTATGGGGCAGGCTGATAGACTCAAGGCTGCCGATATGCGGCAATTGAAGAACGCGTACGAAAACCGATTGACTCACATACAGAAATCAGCCAAAATTGAAATAACACGTTTGGTAAGTTGTGCGTAGCGGCTGCTAACGGGTCACCAAAAGTTGGCCGAAAAGACGTCGGCTGAGGGGAAGTGAAGGGGAAGGGGGAGGGGGGAAAGAGAGGGGACAAGCGGTACGGAACGGAACCCGGCGGTTAAGAAGCGGACGGGCAACTTTTCATACGACCATTGAAATTCATACATGCATTTTGAATTTGCACGGCAAGAAAACAGGTCACTCTTAACTAGCTGTTATGAAGTGCTCTCAGCTTCCACTCTATGACTATTTGATTTACTGAACACTTATCTAGTTAAAGATTTTATAACTACACAAAATATTAATCCACTTTTAGGTAATAAAGTCATACATTTTATTAAACACTCATGACAATAAATCTCAAATAATTTGCTAGTCATCAAAACATCAGTTTAATTAGGTGATTTCGTTTGTATATATAGCTTTTCTGTGGATCGACCATGAATTACAAGCTGTAAGTTTATTTGTCCTAGATGAGGTGTATAAGTTGGCTGAAATCGAACACCGTCTTATCCAAATATTGGTTTTATTACTGTGTAAGGTGTTGGGGAAACCAGGAGAGGTTTTATCTTACAAACAAACGATCCAATCACAATTGATTCATGCAGGTCCACTGCCACGAATAAGTTATAATATTTCTCTGTGATCGGTACTTACCCTTGAACCTTTTTTCTTGCAGCTAGAGGAAATAAAGACCAAAGAACGTAATATAGGACAGCTGAAGAAGGACTTGCTGGCACTGCAGAGTCCCAAGAAACCGAAGCAGAATGAAGCCAAAGTGCCAGCGCCGACGAAACCCAAAACGAACCCCAACGAAACGAGCCAAAAGCCAAAGAAACCCACTGCGAAGCCCATGGGAGAAACAAAGGCTAAACCCGAACCAGATACAGATACATTAACAGATGCAGATATAGTCGGGCAAAATCCCATACGCCAGGCTCAAGTTACACCTGAGGTGAGTCTGTGTTTCTTTCTTATTTTCGTTGGCTTTTTAAACTTTTTTTTCGGAGTGGGGTGGGGGTTGGGCACTTGAACTTGTCTGAGAGGCGGGTTAAAAGTTAAGAGCTCCACCAGATACAGTATCTCGGGATCCAAGTGGTGTTCGTGTGATCTGCATCTATATCTCCACTTCGCGCTCTGGCATCTGCGGTTATGCACTATTGGCATGATCTATGATATAATTTTGCGTTAGTTATGAGAATGGCAAAGACAACAATCGCCGCGTCGATAAGCGGTGGGCAAAAAAAAAAAGAAAAAACGAAACAAAAAATCGGGGGAAAAAAGTAAAGAAAAAACCTGCTGCGGCAGTTGCAGCGTTGCAGTTGCAGCAGCGCAAGTGTTGCAAGTGGATCGCTGGCGAGAGCGAGAGAGGCAGAGCGAGAGAGAGAGTGAAGCGGTCGCAAGCCGGTTTTTCGCACCACTCACTCACTTTCTCGTTCGCCGCTCGAGAGTTTACCGCTCGCATGAATGGCCGTCAGTTCGTTTTTTAAGTTCGCAGCGGTCGCAGGTGTCGCGCCTCAGGTGTCTCACTACCCGAAATAAAATCTGAAAAAAATAAAAATAAAAATAATAATATACCAAGCAAAGTGCAGAAATCAAACGCGCATAATTTCGAGTTCAGGAGGTGCATAATCATCAGGTGAAATTCGCGGCCCAGAATCGGCGGAGTTTTGAAAGAGGCGCTAATGAAAAGTATGCCAGGGTGCATTGTCTGATTTTCTAAAGCCTAAAATGAAGGAACCAAATGCCACACATTGATGGATACATACCACAAACAATCGTTGCCTTTTGAATAGGAATCGGAATAGGAAAGCCCATTCACGGTTTGTCTTTCTCTTTGGCATTGTCTAACGCACCCGAGCCCATAATTTTCACCGACTTCGCACTACAGTTTAGTGGAATATGCCAAAAACGATCAAAATTAATTGCCTTTCCCACCGACACTCCCCTTCTTCTGTTCAGTCTCTCGTGATTTGTGGCCATATCGCCTCCATAGCGCTACGTTCCAGTGATCGAATTCGATTTTACAGTTCATTAATCGCGCCTGCTCGTAATTGTTTTCATCGCCGCCAAAGTAGTCGAGAATTAGTTACGAAGATCCAATCCGAGATCCATAATCCAAGATCCCCAGATCCCGAGATCACCGGGCCATGACATCTTGATGGGTGTGGATCGGAATCGGATTTGAGTTCAGATTCGGATTCAGATTCAGATTGGCAATCCAAATCGCGGGGTTGGCATCTGGCAGATCTCTTTAATCCACTATCGGATGTCGGCCAGTGCGCCAGTTTCTAGCAGTCATTTGCATAGCAAAGTGCAGCGGCAACATAGCAACATCATCAACAATCGGGCAACGATGTCATCTGGCAGCAAGAAACAAACGCGGCATCAATAAGTGCACGCAGAGAAAAACGTACTGATAAAAGTGATTTCCAGTTCGAAGTTGGCTTAAGTCAAAACAGCACCCTCTAGGGGTAACAGCCTGAAAAATCATAAAAATGTGTTAACAAATAAGTGGCCAATAAAAAGTTTAATAGTCTACCAATGTGCAAAGTTTAGAAACAATTAGAATCACAATGAAAAGCATTTTAAATGTTTTTAACTGAAGTTAGAAGATTATTAGCAGATAATATAGTGATGGCTTAATTATCCCTGGCTTATAATTTTTGCATTGAATTATTGGAATTACAACCAATTAAAGAATTTGGAAAGGGAGGTATAAATTTTCTCACAATTAGAAGATCAATTTTTCTCTGGCAAAAGTTAACGAAGTGTTTTTTGTTTTGTTTGCTGTGTGCTAATCACTTCACATTATTGATTGATGTTTTCGCCCGTGTACTCGCCAGCACTCTCCCCTAAGAGTCTTTGAGGAAAAAGTGTGTGGTTGTGGGGAGTGTGTGTGCACACCACACCGCCAATTGGGGTCAGTGAAAAGCTTTTAAAATGTTAACGCTATTTTAAATACGATATGTTGCTATGACTATGCCTCGGCTGCCTGCAGAATTTAGTCATCCCCATCTTCCCATCGCCATTGCCATCGCCAAACGACAGTAAAAGCGAAGCGATGGCGATGATGATGATGGTTGTGAAGGTGATGATGACGATTGTAATGATGATGTTGCTAAAACAAGACGCCAGCCGTGGACTGTAGACTGTGGACTCCGGAGTCCGGACGCTTCCAATATGCAAAGTAATCACAACACAAAAAGTGTGCAGACAACAAAAAGTAAACGACTTGCGAGAGAAAAAGGGGTGTGTGAAATGGAAATGTGAACCATATGCAAATTGTGAATCGTTTTGGCGAATGTGTCTATAAATTTCGATGTTTTAGTGAAATTACCGCGGTGAAAACTATTTGCCATTTGCCATCAAAGAGACGAAAACTTGAAAATTGCGGTTAATTATTTTTGTCAAACAAAATCCACACCTTCGTCTGTGGGAATAATGCATAAATACGCCTGACAATGGATTACTACTACAACCGGAGAGATGTCAAGGTAATTGACCACCGCCAAAGCCAGAGCAAACATAACATATAACATATAGTATAAGCCATTAAGTGATTCCTATTTCTGGTAGCACCTGTTACTCATTCCGCGAATATTGCTCATACGACGCGTACTCCATAGACAATTAGCTCGTTGTGAACCAGCGATGGGAAATCTGATTTATGGCAATGGAATGGCGGGGCCCACCGCACATAGAAGTGTCAAATTGGCGCCTAATTTATAGTTTATAACTCAAGAATTCACAACGTGTGGTGGCTCCATTTGAGAAAGGGAAAGGCATCTAGTAGAACATCATACATAATCAAAATTGGAGCTTCCGCTTGTTTAAACTAAATATTTTTGATTAATAGAGAGTTTGATAGCATGCAAATTAGGGTTTTATTTGCTGGTTTAACAGCCCGGAAAGCAAAGTAAAGTATAGCAAGTTAAGTAACTCAATTACCAACCTGTTAACTGATGATTAACTTTGATTTATATCTTACGACCGAAATAGCTTTTCGATTGACGGTTATTGGTGAAGCAAATCGTTCGTAAACTCAAAGGAGCGAGTGAAATTATAAAAATAAAACTTTATTTCAAACCAGACTGGTTAAGTTAATACGATATAATGCGTATTTGATGTGCTGAAAACGAAATCTGGAGCTCTTCGGCCCCAATTTAATCCACTTTCAAAAACCATTAAAAGATCATCTCGGATGATTAACTATCCATCGGCGATATCAAGAGATTCGCCTGCCTGACATTTCTGCCACACGGGGTCTATAAAATGTTGCAAATTTTTGAGCACAAAGGGGGCCATCATCGAAATCAAAATCTGCTGAGGCCGCGACGGATGAATAATTACCTCCGCTGGTATCTCAGATCGAAAGGGAAAGGCTCGGACCTCGGCATCGGAAATCGGCTATCGCCACAGTTGGAATACTCGGTTAATCCCCGGGTTCGCTGGGCGATATCGATGCAAGTTAACGGGCGCAATGCATATATGTCAACAGGGCCGACCAAGTCCATTCATTAGTGCAATTAGCTTATCCCATCGGGGGGAGTTTCGCTCCACTGGCCCCTTCCGATAAAAGATACATACGCCTTACTATATAGCATACACAGGCCATCTGCAATACAATATAATTCATTAGCGCATATAAACTTTCGCTTTCGCAAGATCAAATCAAAGCAGTGCCTTTGTGCAGAGCCAAACCTGAATTACAATGCCAAATGCAAATATAAGAAAACATATACCTGCTAGTTGGTACATACAGTGGAGTTCAAGATGATAGCACTCAGAATTGGGGAATTGCTTATAAATAATAGTAATGTTCCCTTAATTTATAGGTAAATTAATAATATAATAGATCACATCTTTATAAACGATTTTGTTCATTTAGTTTGCTGTTTCCCTATTTAGATCAATAGATAAGGAAATAGTTTTTCTTAGAGCAAACAGTAAATGAGAAGTAAAATCGATTTCTTTATGGGGAGAAGATTCGATTGGTGCCTTATACAGATCGCCTATTTCCGGGAAAGCCATTTCGAGAGCTACAAGAATGACCATGTCTGTTTGAGAGGCACCGGCGATGCCTTTTGATGGCTGCTGCTACACGTAATCGTCCACGGACCGGGGGAGTCGAACCCGGAACGTCGGAGACGGCGTTGCAGTGGCAGTGGCAGTTGCACCGATCGAAGTGAAACCTGTCTGCAGAAAGGAAAATCATTTCACACAATCACAATCACTTGGCCCGCGGCTTGTGCAAACAGACCGACAGCGAGACATAAACACACCTATGTGCATCCGAGTATCCGAGTATCTGAGTATCCGAGTATCTGAGCGCTGCTTGAGTATCTCAGTATCGCAGTATCTGGGTATCTCCGCATCGTATATGGCTCAGCAGGTTGGGACTGCCGACAGATTTACAAACAATCCATCGGGCGTTTGAAATCGACCCGATGGCGCATCTCCGTCTCGCAACGTCGCCGCTGCCTTTAGCGCAATCTGCATTTGCATCTGCATATGGGATCGGTATCGGGGCATCAATAGAGCCATCAAAAGTTCCCGGAATCGAGGAGGCGAGTGCGAGTGGTTCGGAGAGCGGAAAGTGGGAGCGGTTACCTCAGATCGAAGCCACTTGCTTAATCGCCCCAAGCACGTCGATCGAGTTCGTTAACCGGCCGTTATGCAAAAAGTTCTTTTGGAATCGATCCAAGAAATTACCATAACGGTTAGCTCAGTCTGGGTAGCGTGTATTATCTGTATCTTGGCCATCGTATCGGTCGCCGATCTCGGCCCGTCGTCTCTCTTTACGACAGTCGATAATTTCAATTGAAGACGTGCAGGCATGCGACACCAACGCCAGCAGCAATACTTTGTCAAACAGCAACTCCATTTTGGGCCCAAACCCTGGACTCTCATATACGTATTCCAGCACTCGAAAAAAAAATATTATATATACCTAAAAGATTGTTCTTTAAATCCATAAATTTAGCAGGGTTCTTTAGTTATATTTACAATTTGGTAAAAGAAAGACTGTTTATTATTTTTTAATTCACTTTTAAAACAAATAGTCATATAAAATAATAATACATAGATAGCATAAGGTAATTCATGCAATAGTATTTACAATTATACCGAGAAAGTCCATGCTGGTTGGAGTGAAATTGTCCTAAGCCCCATTAATTATTTTTCCCAGTGCGGTCAGTTGTGAAATGAAGCGATGTGCGCTTGGTCATTGCACTGGGCTCTCTGGAAACCTTTTTGGGTGTGCGTACGGCTCGTTTCACAATTGATTAATGATTTCTCCGCCGCGGCCAACACACATATCCACCAGCGAGCCCACAAATTAGCATAATGCTGCATTATGCGTATAATAACACTGCTATTATGGGTGTTATATAAAACATGAGATTGACATGAAAGTAAAACATAACTGGGCGTTGCTTGATTGGAAAGTGATTTGGCTCTTTGAATTGGGTTCGGTTCGGCTTGGATTGGTCGGTGGGTTTTCGACTTGGAGGCTAATTAGCTGACAGGGCAGATGGATGGCATCGTGACCATGAAAATCGTGATGAGATACGGCGAAAACTTTTGAATAGTGCGTTGCGTTTTCGTGACTCACGATCAGGATCGCTGCATGTGGATGCTCGATGGTGGATAGTACCTAGTGTATTGTGTATAGAGTAGTATATAGATGGTGCCTTGGCCCAGCTAATCCGACAATAAAACGCACCTCTTACTACACCTTTTGATCTTTCGGCCGTGTCATTGAACCCACTTTTGGGTGCCCATTGTGCGGATCAAAAGCAACCTGTACCTGTCCATAATAATGATTTGGCGCTTTCGAGCAAAAAGCAAAAAGTGTGTCTGCGGCAAGAAATCAAGTCATAACTGTTAACACACATGTAAAGAGCTCACCGCAAAGCGGAGCGTTCTTTTCAGTTCTTAGACCTAAGAACCCCCTTTTTTTTATATTTTTATACACACACGTAGAACGTAGATACAACAAAAAGAAACAGATTCTTTTGTTAATTGCTTTGTCCATTCTGGGGCAGGTCGCCCCGAAGAAAACGTGGGTAAAGAGCGATAGAGAGTGGTGCAATAAATGTAACTATGGCACGACATTTTCTAATTTATCCCCCCTCCACATCTGGTTTGCTCCCCGCAGATAACCCAACTCAAGAACATTGAGCTAATCAACAATACGAAAAATGCACATAAATCAGCGCTCGAGATGCGCACAACAACCACAGTGAAGAGCAGCCAGCAGCCGAGTGGCTTGGATGAGGCTCCCACTCGGATGAGGGCCCCCGACGAGATGAGGGCCACCACTTGGATGACGGCGCTGCTCGGCAGCCATCCCACAGCAGCCAAGTCGAAGGTGAGTCGCAGCTAATACCTCACTATATACCTTCCCTCGAACTCTGACATCTGACATCTAAAACCCCGCTTCCTCGCTCTCTCTCTGTTTTCCAAGGACCCCAATTCGGACACGGACTCGGCCTTGTCCTCGGCTCCGCCCTCCATCAGCCCGCAGCCGCCCTCCAGCGGATCGGACAGCGGCGTGATTTGGCAGACCGTAAGTACCGGGTACCTGGTACCTATTCGAGTTGGCCAGCAGCCAGACAAGCTGACTAGCTACAAATTGGGCCTTTAAGCCATCACAAATCCATCACATTTCGGGCATTAGTGATTAATGATGGTACATAGGCCGTGATTTATTATTTCGAGAAGCACTAAGACAATACTTGGTTAATAAACATGTGGATTCCATCCAATTATTTTTTTAATTTCTAGAACAAATAAGACATCTTGTTATTGTTAGTTAGTTTCTTGAAGGTTCATAACACATGTACCTATATGTTGTATTTGTAAAATATGATAGCTTTGTATATTAAAGCCTTGAATTGATTGTTACCACATAGACACATTAATTTAGTTACTACTCATTCAAATATAATATAATCCATTTCTTATAATAAAAGGAACTAAATACCTTTTAAGTCTACCATTGATATATATTTTAAACATATAAGCTAAGCTTTTGTTAAATAAAGCACTTTAAATAGTTTTAGTTAGAAAGACAAATAACAGAGCAGTTTATTATTATATGTGCAACATTATCTTCTTTAAATGCTTTTAACAAACTTACCGAAGATAAAGTATTAATTTCTGATTTAATGCATTTCGGAAATATTGTGGGAAATAGAATGAAGTAGAATAAACAAAAATGTGGAAAGAGCTCACAAGATTTGAGAATATTGTTCCAGAGTGTTTTCTTCAAGAGTTTTCCCAGCATTTCAAGACTGGTTTCCCCTTAAGTATTTATTTCAAAATCCACCCCCGTTTTTTTTTTTGCAGCTGCAGGACCTGGACAAGCTGCAAAAGGAAGCGGAAATGTACCAGAAGGAGAACGAGCGGCTGCAGGCGGAGGTGCAGCTGATGAAACAGGAGCTCGAAGCCGCGGAGAAGGCGGCGCTGAGCAGCGGCAAGAAGCAGGCGAAGATCGAGGAGCTGGTGCAGAGGATCCAGGAGCTGGAGGAGAAGCAGGCGAGCTTCGAGGACGAGACGAGCGAACTGCGCGAGCAGAATGAACTCCTCGAGTTTCGCATTCTCGAACTGGAAGATGATAACGATAAGGTGAGCAATGGGAACCCAGTTCGCGAGTCACTCGAAAGCCAGTTTGCGAAAGCACTCGAGCGAGTGACTCACTTGGCTGGTTGGTTGTTTATGAATGAATTGAGCCATTCATTTCGAGCCCGACTTGAGCTCGCTGAGAGCCAAGTTGGCGCTTTTGGCCAGCTCCGTGTGCCGAAGTCTCTCAGTCTCTTAGTTTTGTTTGGCATCTGAGCCAGCACGGAAATTGTTTTCGTCTTAACGCCACAACAATCTATCTATTTTCCAATTGCAATTGTTTCAGTGGAGCAGCCGCAGTTAATGGCCAGCTCATTAGCCTGTGTTATAAAATATTCAGGAATTGGAATCTGTGGTTAAACTTTCCAATTGTTAGTGAGTCTCCACTGTGACTTTGCGTCACAACTTCGATTTGTGATCGACGCCCACAATTTTAAGATGTTGGCATCGCTTCTTGGCCATGTTTGTTTGATTTTGTAAAAGAGTTGTTTTAGCCAAATCGGAGGTCAGTGCTTAAAACGCTGCTTATAAGGGAAGCGCCCTAAGTGGTCGCCATCTACGAATCTTGTTATACTTATGAGTGTTTTGTCGTTGCTCATAGACAACCAAATCCAGCAAAAGGCTTTGTTGGTCCCACACCTTAGAGTTCCCATTCAATGGAGCGAGTGAAGGTATATAATTTTGGGAAGAAAACTGTGGAAACATTATGCATTATAGTTTAAACTTCAGAGGTAGAACTTTGTTTAAAAAACCTTGGAGTACTTACCGCGTAATTATAATCAGCAGTGAGAATTCCTATTATTTGGCTATTATGCTTCCAAGCAGTTTATTGTGTTTGAAAACCCTGAGTAAATTGATACTCAAAGTTGATAGAGGGTATCTCCAGATTGGAACCCCCATTTATAGGTATTTTCTGCTGTTTTGCTGTTTCGGTACGTTTATTTTCTAGAGCCGAACAGTTTCAACTGGCAGCCAGCGGCAGCGAAGTCGTTCAGCTTGAAAATCCAATTCACTCGCCTAATTGCAATAACCAAAAGTAATTATTCGAGCGGGCAGCAAAGTGAAATTAGTCGAAGATCGCTTCGCACATGAGAGTGTGTCAGTGGCGGCGGATGGCAGCGGAGCATAAAGCCAGTGATAATTTGCCTAAGTAACTGTTAACCAGAAGAATTTATCTAATCGTATACCGTATCGTGTTTCCCCCGATCTCCGATCTCCCATACGATCCAGATGGAAAGCACCTGCGAGGGCCACTGCCAGAGTTTGCAGGATCTGCTGGAGCAGTCTGCCCAGCAGCTGGAGGATCGGGACAAGCGCTGCCTGCAACAGCTGCTGCAGTGCGTCCAGCAACTGGACCTGGACGCCATGACGTCAGACAATCAGGTGGGTGAAACTCCAGTTGAAGTACTTAACCCAACTTCAATACCACAGCCATCCCAGTCATGTTTGTCAGTTGATTGTAGTGGAAAACGTAACGGAGTGTCTTGCCAACATATACAACCCACAAAGATTACCCAACTTGTTCCCTTACTTTACCTTTTTTAACCTACTTGATGAACCTTTCGGACTAAGGAATCCCTAAAATTCACGTTGTGTTGTACTCTTTCCCCACACAGAACCGCACGGAGACTCCCCGGAGGCACAACCAAACCCAAAGTCACAACCACAACAACAGTCCGAGTCACAACCACAGGATCGTTGCCACCGTTCAGCCGTACAGCAACTGTGCCACGCCCTCTGCCCCGCCCACGCCCAGCAAGAGGCACTGCAGCCAGCAGGTGAGCTCCTGGCAGAGCAGCAGCCTCAGCGAGAGCGGAGTGTTCGTGGAGTGCGACCTGCCATCGTCGAATCCATCGGTCAGCCTTGGCCATCCGCACCTGCAGTTCTACCAGGAGCGGCTGGAGCAGCTGGAGGGCAAGCTCCTGATCTACGAGAGCAGCGGCGAGACGCAGGCGCGCCATTTGGCCCAGAGGTTGCAGAGGGAGCTGCAGCTGGAGAAGGACCTCAAGGAGCTGGGCGACCGGGTGGAGCTGCTGACCGAGCAGAACGCCCAGTTGGAGGAGGCCAAGTGCGAGTTCGAGGAGGCGGAGAACGACACGCGACTCCACCTGCAGCGCAACGAGGTGGAGCTGGAGATCCTGCGCCAGCGCAACGTGGAGTTGGAGTTCGGCAAGGAGGCACTTGGCGCCAAGTACCAGGACTGCCGCGCAGAGGTTCTGATCCTGCGCGAGGATCTCGCGGCAGCCGAAACCCAATTGGAGCACCTGCAGAGCGAGAGGAAGCAGGCCAGGAAGGAGCTGCAGGACCTGCGCAGATCCCTGCCCTTGCTGCTCATCTACCGCCTGTTATCGTTGGCCAAAATGGGCAACGACATGTCCTCCCCGCAGGCCAGTCCCCGCCTCTCCTCGGGATACACGGCCTCGATGCCGGGAGATCAGGATTCCGTCCCCAAATTGCGACCGGCGGAGTTCGGACTCAGCCAAGCGGGGTACTCCGATCCCGGCGAGACTCGTGAGATAGTCTACCTGAAGGAGGAGGTGAAGAGCCTGCGGAGCCAGCTGAAGGAGCTCAATGCCCGGCACTACGAGGCCATGGAGACGGCCGACTCGCACTGGGTGGACCTGGAGCAGCAGTACAAGGAGCGCGAGGAGGCCTACCGCGCCAAGGAGGCGAGCCTCAAGCAGAAGATCGCCCAGCTGCAGGACTGCCTAAGGGAGGACTCCCGGGCGGCCACCGAGAAGATCCAGCAGCTGGAGGAGGCCGAGCAGGCCCTGAAGACCTGCCTGGTGCGCATGACCAAGGAGCACCGCGATCTGCTCACCGAGAACCGCACCCTGCAGTGCAGCATGGAGAGCGTGGTGGCCAAGATGGAGATGGAGGCGGAGCACAAGATGCCGCTCACGGAAGCCCTCGAGACGGAGAGGCGGAGGAGCCAGGCGCTGATGGACGACCTGAGCTTCGCCAAGAAGGTCCAGCAGAACACCGAGGACCAGCTGCGGCAGGAGACGGATGCGCTGCGCACCCAGATCTTCGACATCAAGAAGGAGTACCTGCACATCGAGGTCACCAACAGCGAGCTGAAGGAGGAGGTGGGCACGCTGGAGAACAAGATCCGCCAGATGGAGGCCCAGATGAAGGACTCCGAGGAGCGGGCGCGCTGCCTGGAGGACGAGCTGCGCACCAAGGACGAGCAGTGCCAGCTGATGGAGCGCAAGCTGGGCGTCATCCCCGAGGGCTACAGCCTGGCCGACGAGCTCTACGACAATCCCGCCAAGCGGGCCAAGAAGGACGAGGTGCCCGATCTGCAGACCGCCAGTCAGGGGTTGGGCGTGGCCCTACTGGATCTGGAGGTGGGTTTGCCAATCATATTGATTGTTTATTTATTATATATAATTAATTATCTCTTTATTATGTAAAAGGGTCGGGACTTCGAGCTGCCCCTCCACAAGGACTTCCAGGCGATCGCCTGCAGCGTGAAGCATCTGGCGGACACCCTGCTATCCCAGAGTCCGACCGAGGTAAGTTTGCAGGGCAGCCAGCCGGACAAGTCGGCTGGAGCGGAGCAGGATGTCTCGTCCAATAGAATAAGTGGTTCGGGACTGTCGACAATGGCAAGTCAGGAGAGTGAGGCTGGTCAAGAAGTGGGGGTCATTCAAGACAGCGAGGTCATACAAGACAGCGAGGTCCTCCAAGACAGCGAGCTTATTCAAGATAGTGAGGTCGTTCAAGAAAGCCAAATTAGCCAACCCGTTAGCACCGATAAGTCTAGTTACCTAAGTGTCCAGTCATCCTCAACAAGACCCAAGGGCTTCAAGGTGGGCAGAGCCACCCGCAAGTCCCGGCGATCTCGTGGTGGAGCGGATAGCAACGAGGATCTCACACAACTGACGGTGATCAATCCACCAAGTGGGAAGGAGAAGAAGATCAGCGAGGTGCCGTCTTCCTTGAGACAGCTGGTTAAGGAGCCAAAGCCGAAGCGCGAGAAGAAGAGCAAGAAGCAGGAACAAGCTGCGAGGAAGGAGCATCCCACTCCACGTCATCGCCAGCGATCCATGTTACGGCGTTTCATTTTCCGGCGCATTTACCGAGCTCGCACTCGAAGTGTTGCCACGAATCGATCACCGATTTTCCCGCTCCAGGAGAGCCTTTCGAGCAACAGTTTCCACTCGGTGATTTCGATTCACACAGTTCACTCATCCAGATCGAGGGTTTCCCTGTGTTCCCTGCACGCCAAGGTCTTTGATCCCGAATGGGAATCCCTGGCCAGCGTGTCCTTTGTTCAAACGGAGAATCCCAACTATTCGGAGGAGGGTGTTCAGGTCACGGCGGATTGCAGTGAGCGGGAGGTTCAGGTGCAGCCGGACACCATGGAGTGTGGAATCCAGGTGGAGGTCGGAGTGGAGCAACGATTCCTCCTGATGCCTCTGAGAACCCGCTGCTTCGTGGATCTCCTCCAGGGCGCCGTGGACGGGTACTTCGATGTGTCCGCCTTCCGGGCACGACTGCTCCGCTTGTGGGAGAGCGGGGAGGACTTCCGTGAGCACATCGAGTTCCTGCAGGACATGTGGACGGAGAAGAAGCACCAGGAGTCGCTGGAGTGCTACGAGGGATTCGTGGCAGCTCTCGACTGTGTTCGCACCCTAAAAGCGGCCCTCAAGCCGGCATCTTCGGCACTTTTGGACCAGATCGAAACCCGAATCCATGGACGACTGGTTCTGTACCACAACCAGAAGGTGGAGTCCGAGTTTGGCTGCACCGTCTACATTCCCGTGGCTCGAAGCAACTCCATGTTGTTCCGGAATGCCAGATAATGCCACTTTCATTAGCTCCATTTCGATGTAAATACTACCATGCATAAATGTAAATTACCTAGTGAGTTGTGATTACTTTTGATGTTGAAGATCTTTCAATTGAGCGTTAAAATAAGGTTCTTTCGAATCGGATAAGGAAAGTGATTTGGTTAGATTTCTATTTGGAAGGTTAACATCAACATTGCCTTGAGAAAACTTTCCCTCTGTAGAATCATTTTGTACCTTGGTTTATATAGTTCGTAAATCAGATTTGTCAAAATTAGTTGGAGCATTATGATTGGCGAAAGTGAAGACCTCGACACCTTCCACGACTGTCGGAGCGACGATGAGGAGTCTCCGGAGTTGGCCATCGGCGGTGGTGATGAGGTGATCTGCAAGCAGGCTCCCCGATTCGATGATCCCGTCCAGATTCGCGCCGTCTTAGAGCGGGCTTCCGTTGCCACCCGGCGGCTCTTGCGGTGCTATGGCGGCACCGACTGCGTGCCCACTCGTCCTTCGATGACGCTCTTCTACCCCGCCACCCTGGAGGTCTGTGCCCGGCTCCACACGGACGAGAAGTGTCCCTGTCCCAAGGACAGGCAGTGCAAGTTGATCGGCGACCCAGTGACCTTGAAGCTCCCAATCGAACTGAATCCGGAGAGCGGCCAGGTCAAGGTGAACATCTTCAGGCCAAAGTCCATCGGCACTTTCTGCGGCTGCAATGCCCCCGAAAACCGGAAGAAGAGCAGGAGATCCAGTGTGAGGTGGAGCGGCAAGGAGGCAGAGGGAACCCCAGGGTCAGGAGACCCATGAAAGCACTTGAACTCCGCTGTTTTTCGCATAAAATTCGATGTTCTTTATTCGATTTTTTGTCTTCAAATTGTATCTAAAACCAAATTTACCAAAGTTGGCCAGCAGTTTTTTTTTCTGTCTGTCTTGAATGTTGGGCTCATCGCATAGATTCTACAGATTTTATAATTTCCATTATGATCTAAAACTAAGTAAAAAAAGTTTTATAGGGAATTTAACTTTAAACTCATAGAGGTATGCCATTTTAGAAATTAAAAATTAAAAATGTTATGGTCTGAGAGGTGCCCGTTTTTGGAAACTTTTCGAAAATTTGGAGAGGTGTCAGAAAATGTACCCCTTACGAAATATGTAAAATTCTGATGATTTTCATAATTCTAAAAACCCCAGAAGGTTACGATTAGATAATCAAAGTAGACCCTTCTTCCTGTCACTTTTTCGGCTCGCCACTGGTCATTATTTTAGACACAAGCGAGCAGGCAACACACAATTGAAAATTTAATGTGAGTTTCGAACCTGATTTGGGGAAATCAGTTCGAGCCGAACAAGCGTCATGGATGAGGATCTCGCGAGTCAGTCGGCCGATCCGAGGAGCGTGGACCAGGATGCCTACTCGGAGAGTCGCTTTGGGGCGCGGAGCACCACCACCCTTGTGCGCGGACTGGAGTCCACCCGACTGATTTTCATGGGCGACAACTTCCAGCAGACGCGCAGCGACCACGATGTCTTCTTCGACTGCAGGGACACCGCGGAGGACTCTCCCCAGGAGGGTCGCAGTGCCAGCAGTCGCTGCAAAATGGACGACCCGGCCGCCTTCCGGGAGGCCTTGGTGCGGGCGGCCAACGACACGCAGGTGCTGCTGCGGAACTTCGACAAGGCGGGCGGCGGGTGGAACAAGCCGTGTGGCGTCACCCTGGAGCTCACCGCCCGGTTGGTGGACCCCAAGAAGTCGCGCGCCGGGTGTCCGCTGCACGGCAAACCCGTCACCGTCCAGATGCCGCTGGAGTTCAATCCGCAGGGCGGCCAGAGGATCGGCCCCTGCCAGAAGAAGCATTCTTCTGGAGGCAGACACCGCAAGGAGTCCGTCTGCCAGTGCCGCTCGCAGCAGGGGATGCACTCAGCCTCGAGGAGCCCGAAGCCCAGCACAGGTAAATCCACCAGCGAACAGTTCCGCGCCTGCGAGTCCCAGCAACTGTCCGGCGTTACCATCTCCGACTTCATGGGCAGTTGCGGGGACTCCACCTCGCAGTACTTCCGGTGCACGCCGGGCATCTGTGGCCAGCGGTTCGATCCGAACGCGCGGGAGGTGATCTCCATCTGCTACCTGCCCGTGCCGGAGCCTGAGCCGGAACCCCAAGCGCCGACTCCTCCGCCGCCGGAGGAATCCGTGGAGGAGCTGCAGCCGGAGACGGATCACCTGCAGATCTACGGCCCGGAGCCCGAGCCCGAGTCCCAGTCGGCGGAGTCGAGCGAGGAGGAGTCCGAGGAGCTGCTGTCCAGCGAGGAGTCGGTGGAGCAGCTGGGACCGCCACCGCAGGAGCCGCCCAAGGGATCCAAACGGTACTACCTGGCGCTGCCGCAGAACAAGGAGTTCTCCAACTGCTCGCCCTGCCGCTTCGATCCCAGCCCGATCATGGACGAGGACGGCAACGTCTTCTGTCCGGGCAACTGCGGCTGCTGCATGTGTCCGTGGAAGAAGCGCTCCTTCTCGCTAAACCAGGAGCACATCAACGTGAAGGTCTGCCGCTGCGTCCAGCGCGGCACCATCTTCACCAAGTTCGAGGACCGCGAGGTCTGCAGCCAGACCTCCAACTTCGACTTCTGTCCGTGCCGGGAGAAGGCGGAGGCCAAGTTCCTGGAGCTCTACCACCAGGAGATGTGGTCCCGCCCAGACATCACGCGCGGTCGCGAGATCCGACTCACGGAGATCAAGGAGCTGGCGGTGCCCCCGAATTTCTCGAACGAATAAATTGTGTTTGCCCATCCAAATTAAATCAAATCGAATCGCAAGTCCCGTTAAATCGTGTGTTCTTGCCGTGGAATCGGGCCGAAACTGTTTTCGGATCGGTTCGGTATCGGTTACAGCGCAAATCCTTCGAGCCTTAACCGCAATGAAATTGTAAGCGACTTTGAATTAAATTTTTTTAATTAATTCTACGATTCAAACATAACGTTTATAATTTATTTATGATTTTTCTTTTCTTCAGTAATAATTTTAAACATATTAGTTTTGGGTAATATGTATTAAGTTAGCTTTAAGATGAAATGAAATCAGGCAGAGTTATTTTCCACTCATAAGAACTTTTTTTCGCTTGCCACTTTAGCGGTTAAGACTCGCCGTTTCGGTTGTTAACGGAGTTTACTCTAGGAATCAACATGCAAAAACCAATACTACTTAAAATGTGGCAAAACTTAAGCTTTAATAAACTTTATGATTGAAACTGGATTTATTTTTTATCATCCTCAGAATGCCCGGCTCTGATGTACATGCAGGATGAGCGACATTCCGACAGCGACCCCAACTCCCGCCACCAACAAACCGATCTGTCCCACCTGAGAGACAACTGGAAGCCGTCGAAGCCCGCAAAGTCCCATCACGATTTGGAGGATCCGCACTCCAAGCACTCGCAGACGGACGCCTCCCACTTGCGGAAGCACCACACGCCCAAGTACCCGGTATCCGAGCCGGAACTAAAATCGGAAACGGATGTAGACGAGGGAGCGACCTGTTCCTGCAAGCCAAAGCGATCCAAGTCCGCCGATCCGCCGCCGGTCAAGCCCCAAAAGTGCGTCTGCAATAAGGATCCCATTCCGTGTGGAGTGGACTCCGATGCCCAAGAGATTAGCCGAGCGAAGAAGCCCTGCTCCGTGAGAACCTCGCGGACGGAACACAGTGCCGGACCCTCGTTCCGAAGTGCCCTAACCGATTGCACCAAGGAGCTCCTCGACGACTGCACCTGCGGCTCCAATCCTCCTCCCTACTGGGCAGGCCAGAGCAACCTGGTCACAGGTCCCTCCTACAGCAGGGCGATGGATCCCCACAAGTCGAAGGCCGCCGGCAGCGCCTACAGGAGCAACCAGACCTTTGCTCCGGATCCGAATCAAGCCAGTTGCAGCCAGCACGGTCCCAAGAGCATGGGCAGTATGCCCAGCAAGGGGGCTCAGAGGAATCAGAGCGGAGTCACCTGGTTGTCCGCCCTGAAGGATCCGGAATGCGACTGTTGCCCAGATAAGGAACCACAGCCCGATCCCTGCAGTGCCACGCCTTCAAAGAGGGATCCCTGCAGTGCCACCCCATCGAAGGTGGTTCCCTGCAGCGCTTCGCAATCGAAGGGGGCTTCCTCGATGGCATCTCATCCGGAGAGCCAGGCCCACTACCGCAGCATGTCGTCCAGATCCCGATCGCGCAATCCCTGCAGTCAGGCCTCCTTTGGTGTGGACTACGAGACCTCGGCCACCACGCGATCCCAGTCGATAGTGGGCAAGGTCACCTGTCTGTGTGGCTCGGATGAGCATCCCTCCCAGGGATTCGTGTCCTCGCGGCCGGATTCCTTGCACCACCAGCAGAGCAGCCTCGCGCCCTGCGGATCCACCAGAATACAGCATCCGCCGGGATTGCAGTCGCAGTTCGACGACTGCCAGACATCGCAGGGCGGTCGCAGTGCCTCGTTCCGATCGCGGAAGGTGAACCTCAGGGATCACAGGGAGGAGTTCTGCGACTGCGACGCCTCCGACGGGTCCTCCGAAGACTCGGATCCCATCCAGACGAGCCTCCACACGCACAGAAGCCTCTCCGGCGCCAGTTGCCTTTGCGACGAGGACGAACCCGTGCCGGAGGATCCCGCGCAGTCGTCCTGTGTCCACAAGGAGTGCCAGTGCTATCTGAGTGCGATCGAACCCCAGGAGGAGGGCACTGGGTACCAGACACCCGTGGATCCCTGCGGAAATCGAACCATGCCCTGCTCCACGCGGAAGCAGCGCATCCTTGAGCTGATCGAGAAACTAACCACCTCCGGCTGCGACTGTGGAGTAGATCGCTCCTGCATGATCCAGCAGCTGTTCCGGGAACTAACACTGATTCTTCGGTCGGAGAAGGAGAGTGCAGTTGCGCCGGAGGACGAACCTTGTCCACCAGAAGTGCCCTTCGACGAGTGCTGTGCGACTCAACTTGAGCAGAAAGGCGACGATGAGCCCGGCGAGAAACCCAAGTCGAAGAGGGAACTCCGGCGGGTGGAGTGCTTCCATCAGCTGGAGGAGTACCTGCGAAAGTGCTTCCTGCCTCCGGCTGAGCCGCAGGTTCCGGAAACCGACATCTACGCCTTTGAACTGGATCCGGACTTCTCGGCAGATGCCCCACTATGTCCCGTGGAGGACCCGTGTGTTATTCCACCGTGTCCAGATAACTTCCAAGACATTGGAGACCCGCGGACCTGCTCGGGAGATGGCTTGGATGGTGAGCTGTTCCTGGACTGCATGGACGACGACGAGGATAAGAAAGGCAGCAGCAAAAAGGATTGTAAATCTAACGAGCTGGCGGAACTTTGCCAAACGCTCAAGGACTTCATCGGCACTCAGTTGCAGGATCTGCAGGGCGGGGAACCCGATGCAGCAGGAAACGAGCTGGAAAAGAAGACACCTAGCACAATATTCAAGGCGATCTGTGAGGCCTCCACGAACACTGTTCCTTGCTCGCAGGAAGACAAAAGTGAGCAAGCCACTCCATTGTGTCCTTTTGCCGGCATGCTGTCCTGTCCTCCGTGGACCAATGGGGGAAACGGACAGAGCCGCCTATCCATGGAACATCGAGCCCTGCGAGGAGAAGGAGCCATCGGAGCCGAAGCCGAAGTGCCAGGGTTCCGGCCTCCTGCCCGAGGGACCCCTTCCACCCGAACTGAGGGATCTCTGCGAGAAGCTCCTGCGCCAGGCGCTCAAGGACTGCGGACTGTGTCCTTGCGGCGACGCGACAACCGTTCACTCCTGCGAGGAGGAGGAGGATCCCTTTCCTGCCGAGGGCAACGAGTGTCCGGATTGCTGCGAGGAGGAGTGTCCCGAGGAGTGCCCCGAGGAGTGCCCGGAGGATAAGCAGCAGGGATGCCTGTGCTGCCACTGCCGCGCCCTCATCTGCGACGACGAGTGCAAGACGGTGTCCAACACCCTGCGCTCGGCCACCTGCGATCCTCTCTGTGAAATGGTAAGTCAATAAAAGGGATTTTTAGGATCTAGGCACTATCAACAGTTCTAATATAAATAGCATCTCAATTTATTAAGTATTGTTAATTATAGTCAAGTTTAGAATTTAGGAACTCTAATTATGTAGATGTATTATATATATTGTACCATATGATCTTATCTCATTATAAAACCTTTTTTTTGCAGAAATACTTTATAGACTCGATGATTATCGATCTGCACGCCATGGACTGTGTGCTGGGCAACAAAAAGGCAAAGCCCAAGGTAATTATACCACTAATAATACCCATAAACCATGATTAACATGTGTGTTTTGTTCTTATTCCTCAGGATGTTAAAGCTTGTGACATGACGAACAGGAAGTCACCGGGTGACAGTTTTCCAGTCACGATTACCAGTGTCAGCGGCTTGGGCTGCAACGCTCTCTATGTCAGATGGGCGGTGGAGGACTGTAAGGGAATAGGAGGATATGAAGTAGGTAAATCAGCCAAACTCAGATACAATCTATTGAGTTTTCCCCCCTTTACAGATTTACGTGGATGGGCATTTGACGAACAGATTCTACAGTTACCGGCACGAGGCCGGAGTGGTAACCAACGTGGACGTGACCAATTGCCACCAGATAGTGCTGCGGGCTGCCGTGGTGGGTCAGGAGTTTCCCAGCGAGGGGACAGACAAGGCGAAGGAGTGTTGCTGCCGGGTAGTGGCTGTCGCCAATCCAGAATTGGCGGCCGGAGCGGAGCGGCCGTGGACGCCCAGTGTCTTCTGGTATGATCCCAACCAATTGCCGCCGGCGGACGGCGCGCAAGAGTGCTAGTCAAGAATCAAATATCAAATATCGAGAATCGAATATCGAAAGTGTATCATCGGTTATCATCACCGTTATCGGAACAAAGGAGCTGGCCACTCCCTCACGTTTTAGCTTGTACATATAGCCTACTTACATGTAGTGTTTGTTAAGAGTTGTTCTTCTGGAAGGAAACCCATTGAAATTACCTGTACGTAGTGCTTTGCATAGTGCCTTAAATCGTAGTAACGTACTAGTGTGTAAGCGGAGATCAATGCATTGTAAAGGAATTGACGCAGATTACTCCTTTCAGATGGCACGTGTTAGTTGAATACCAAATTCACTTTTAATAAATGAATCTCATTGTTAGAGATGCCACTTTATATTGTTGCCTTATTTATTTATATGGAGATCAATTCTAATTTGGCTTTCCTGTTATTTAGTAAGATTTCGAGTTAAATAGTTACAAATGTCTGGTGGAAAAGGTGGAGGAAGTGGAGGTGGAGGAGGAGGAGGTGGTGGTGGAGGAAAAGGCGGGCGTGGCGGTGATGGAGGCGGTAAAAATGGAGGTCGTGGAGGAGGGAACTCAAGTCAAGATGGAGACAAAGACCAGAAATCCAATGAAAGACAGAAAAATCCAAGAGACGGGGAAGATGGAGGATCTGGACGAGGTGGTGATGGCGGAGGCAAAGGAGGAGGTCGAGGAGGCGATGGAGGCGGTAAGAATGGAGGTCGTGGAGGAGCAGGAAACTCCGGAAAAGAAGAAAACTCAAAACAAGATGAAAACAAAGATCAGAAATCCAATGAACGGAAGAAAAATCCAAGAGACGGGGAGGATGGAGGATCTGGACGTGGAGGTGATGGCGGAGGCAGAGGAGGAGGTCGAGGAGGTGGAAAGCAATCCGAAAAGGAAGATGACAAGCAAACCAAAAATAATAAATAAGAAGTTCATACCAATGATCAACGGGAATATATATTTTTAAGCCAGTTAAAAAGCCCAATAAATTTCATGTTAAAAGTTTAGCTGTAGGGTCCAAAACGGCTCTCCATGTTCTGGAAAATGTACGAACAGGTTTGGTCATCGTAGGCTGGCTCAATCTTATCGGGCGTAATGCTGGCCAAAATCAGGAATTTAGTTTGGGGGCTCTGCGAGTTAAATGGTGATAAGGTTAAAAATAAATGGTGATCAGTAAAAAGTGAATAATACCTCCTTGGGTTCGTTGTGCTTCCACAGGTCGTTGGCCTCCAGATAGGTTTTCAAGAGGATGCGCCATGACCAGTAGTTCTCCCGGCCATGTAGTTTGGGAATAGCGTGAAAATCCAAGTCCAGGTGACCCATTTCGTTCCACTTTGCCGCACAGACTGATTAAAACTAAACAAGCTAGCACTGCACCCGATAGGAAAGCTCGAGAGCTTTTCCTATCTGCAACCTTAACATTTGCCCAGTTTAACAGCTTTGCTCGGGGATTTGGAGTTAGATCGAACGGAATGTTGCCGGGCGTGAATCATTAAACAAATTCTGGTGCCAAGTTGTTAACAGTTCTGTGGGTCGAAAAGGGAAATGAATTGCGATTGCTTTCAAGCGGAAAGTGTCAAACATGAAGCCTCTCCAAATTGTTTGCAATTAAACCATTAAGTTATTACAATCAAATTTAATAGTTCGAAAATGTGGAGCAGGTAAAATTGTTTGTTAACAATGGGAATATTCAGCCGAATGAAATTATCGAACCAGAAAGTTGTCAACACAGAATATCTAAGCTTAATTTATTTGGTGCTTTACAGAAATACTCTTTAGACTTGGTTTAGTGCAATCAGGAATAGTAAACAAGTTAGCATAAAGTGGAAAAGTTTATCAATTACTAAAGTAATTTACTTTATGGTATCTAGTGTGATTTTCCTTAATGAGTTGACCACTTTTATCAACTGAATTTTTAGTAAATGTATAAAAAAGGGTGAGACAACTTCGTGGTGTAGCTGCAATGCGTTTTCCCCTTAATTTGGTTTTTATGAATGCTTTTTTGTAGCTTTATGCACTGTGGAAAATCCCTGAGCGGAGGAGGCCATTCGTCAGGCAATTTATTGGGGAGAGTTATGGGTCGTGGGTCGCTATATAGCCGACCGGAGCTCCGGCGACTCGATTTAGTTGGCAGTGGATATGACTCGGTTCGGTCGGTTGTGGTGGTTGCCACTGCTCCAGTGGCTCACCATTGAAACAGGAATTATTGTGCAGGCCTGGAGCTTCGGTCCGGTTCAATCGGAAGCCGGAAGGGATTCCGGACCACAACCCAGCGAGGTGGGAAGCCCGGCGAACCACACCAGTAAGTGGCTCAAATCCGTTGCAAAGTGAGTTTCATGGTTCTATTTGGCCAATCAGTACTCACCAGGCAGCTGATTGTGGGCACTCTGCTGCCACCCCAAGTGGCACCGGGCACCTGGCCTCCAGTGCCCTCCATTGTGAATCCAGGAACCAGTTACTGCCAGTGCGTTCCGCCCGGATCCTGCGCCAATCCCGTACCCACTTTACCCAGCGATGGTAGTGGCCAGTTGGACATAAGGATTGTCAATAATGGCGGTTATGTAAGAACAAAATAACACAGATTTAATCATGATAGTATTTAACCTCCCGATCCTGTTCAGCCCACCATTCCCACCACTTCTCCCACTTTGACCTGCAGTTATGGCTTGGTGGCCTGCTGCCAGGCGGGAAGCTACCAATGTGGCCGGCGATTTCCACCTCCTCCCGGTTCCTCTGCCGCAGGAGCTGGCCAAGCCAGCTTTGGAGCTTATCCCTGGCAGGCAGCTCTTCTCACCACAGCGGATGTTTACCTGGGTGGTGGAGCGTTGATTACCGCACAACATGTGCTCACTGCCGCCCACAAGGTCTACAATCTGGCGTGAGTTCAACTCCGGTTTATCCCCGATCCTTCTCCCCATCAACTCGTTGCAGACTCACCTCCTTCAAGGTTCGCTTGGGCGAGTGGGACGCCAGCAGCACCAGTGAGCCGATTCCCGCCCAGGATGTGTACATCTCGAACGTGTACGTGAATCCCTCGTTCAATCCCAGCAACCTGCAGAACGACGTGGCCATCCTGAAGTTGTCCTCCGCCGTTTCGCTGACCAGCAAGTCCACCGTGGGCACCGTGTGTCTGCCCACCACAAGTTTCGTGGGTCAGCGGTGCTGGGTGGCCGGTTGGGGCAAGAACGACTTCGGACCCACGGGAGCCTACCAGGCCATCGAGCGGCAGGTGGACGTGCCCCTGATCCCCAACGCCAACTGCCAGGCGGCGCTGCAGGCCACGCGGCTGGGCTCCTCCTTCGTCCTCAGTCCTACCAGTTTCATCTGCGCCGGCGGGGAAGCTGGCAAGGATGCCTGCACGGGAGATGGGGGATCCCCGCTGGTCTGCACCAGCAACGGGCTGTGGTACGTGGTGGGTCTGGTGGCCTGGGGCATCGGGTGCGCTCAGGCCGGAGTTCCAGGGGTCTACGTGAACGTGGGCACTTACCTACCTTGGATTCAGACCACTCTAACCCTGTAGAGCTGGGTTTTTACCATTATAACGTATTAAATAATTATAAGTTGACCATGTTATTATAGTAATAAACAAGAAAGGAAGCTAAAATCTTATTAGAATTAGAAAAGTTATGGACTTAAAACCAGAGAAATTCGGTCCATTTTCAGCCAACCCATTTTTTGAAAATTTGCATCATTAAAATTGAATAAAAATTGACAAACAAATAAAAAAAATTCTAATGATGCACGTTGTTATTAAATGAAATTAGAAACCAGAGGTATGTCACTTCAAAATCTGATAAAAATTAGAAAAGTTATGGACTTTAAGTCCATAAGTTGGTAGTTTATTTTACATAATATTTATTTACATATTATTTACATTTGACATATTTTACATAACTATTCCCTTGGCTTATATTATAAATTTTGGGACAATCCATGACTTTTGGATCTTAGATGCGAGTCTAGTCAATTAACTATTGTTAAATTTAGAATCCAACGCTGCGTCCCCGTTCGCTGCCTAGGCTGATGCCATGTGGATTTGCCGGATGATTCAGGAGACCAGTTCGCAGCAAGCCATCTGTCTGTTCTTCACCACAGCCATGACCTAAAATAAGGTTACAAAACAATAATAGACTTACAGATATTGTACACTTCTTGTTCAATTCACAACGTGATGCTGATCAAGAATATACGAGTATACTCTAAGGTGACTCCTTAACTACGCCGCAATCTTCTGACTGAAATTATAATACCCTATGCTAGGGTATAAAAAAACTTTATTATCTAAATTTATTTATCTTTCTTAGGTGAAAAGGTAAAAGTAAATGTTAGTCAAATGTAATGCTCAAAAATATACAATTTTTATGAGAGATTTGTACTTATTTTTTCAAATATAAATCTGTTTTGCATTGGCGTTCGGTCAACTGGCAATTTTAAGGATACACTTTTACGAAACAGCGCTAGTAACGCAATCCAAGCAGTTCGTAGAGCGGCACCTCGACCTCAGAAACACTGGCACTGGACACCTCGAAGTCGCCGCTCTGCAAAAGATATTGCGGTCGCTCCAGTTCCGGGTGGTTCAGATAGAAATCGATGAGGGCAGTGGTGCTGCGCAGGTGGGTGATTCCCTTGAAGATCTTCTCGCGGGTCAGCAGCTCCTCTGGATAAACGGTTTTAATGGCAGTGTCGCCCGATCTCTTCAACCAAGGACGATCCTTCAGCGGCACAGTGCGACCAAATGCACTTAGCAGGGGTTTCTGGTTCACTCGGGAGGCGTGATCGTTGATGTGCTTCTCGTACTTCAGCTCAATGGCCATCTGCAGGGTAAACAAATAAACTTAGGATGTATTTTATTTAAATAAATATTTTTTGTTACTTACATGTGGCTTATTCCATTTATCGGCCACAGTTTGAGCTATGGCATTGACCTCCTTGGGATCTGTTTTAACGGAGGCCAGCAAAGTGCGGTCTCCCTTGATGGAAAATAGGTTCTTGACCTTCTCTGGAGTCAGGTTGCTTTCCAAAGTGCCAAAGGAGTTGAGCCACTCCACAAAACGTTCAGCAGACTAAGAATATTTAAGAAGAAATATAGATATAGGTTATTAAATATATAGTTTCTGTACTGACCGCATCCATGAGGTTCTCAGCCTGCTCATCTAGTGTTACCATGGAGTAATTCTGGCCGGGATGCTCGACTCGGCTTTGCCAGCAGACCCTCTTGTCCCGCGGAGCACAGAGGAACTTGGCGTACCAGCTGGTCTTGTCCACGGACCGATGGGTGTGACCCACGGGCTCGTCCAGTTTAAGATCGAACTTCTCAAACTCGTGCTCCATGCGCACAATGTCCGAGTGTTCGCTCTCGTTGAAGTACTCCTCCACCTTCTTTCGACGGATATCAAGGTGCTTAAAAACAATAGGATTATTAGAAACTAAAAAGGATTTAAAAAACCTTCCCCTTTTTAAATACCCACCACAGTGTCCTCCTCCTCATCGGTTTTTTCAGAGCTGCTGGCACTCATGTAGTCCTCTGGCCTCACCTCCTGCATCTCGTCGCGGATGTAGATGTCATCATCGGACTTTGAGTAGTCGTAGTTCTGGATCCGCTTGACCCTTTCCCGAAGTCTCTGTGGCAGCACCAGTGAGTAGTCGATGACGGGAATCCGCGGCTGGAAGCGACAGGCGGCGGCGAACTCCACGTCCTCGATGGCCGCGTTCCAGTAGTCCTTGCCCTCCAAGCCGCCGCGGGAGGACAGCTTGGAGAAGCCACTCATCCCGCTGCTCGAGGATCGCTCCTTCTGCATGAGCTGCAGCTTTGTCTCCGTCCTCTTCTCCTTGACCGGCTTGGCCGCATTCTGACCCACCGTGGAGTCCAGACGGGCGGAGCGGAGCATCCGGTTGATCACCGGCCGGTTGGACCTGGCCACAATAGTGTGGCGCACCGTGGATCCATACTGATGGTCACGTACGGACATAACTACGACTGCGGTTGCAACAAAAAATACCCAACGAAACTGCCAGCGTTTGTGTATCGGAATTTTCGTAAAGTTTGTTTGCTCAATATGTACTCGAGTCGGTTGAGTTCTATGACAACCACAGCTTGTAGGTTAGTGTAGCACACTATAAACTAGGAGTACAATCCAGAACTTTTTATTAAAGATACTGACAGTAAGAAAAACGAAGAATATACAAACCCGAATTAAATTTAATTTTAAACGTTTAATATCAAATTGTAAGAATTTTAAGTGATTTCGCTTAAGAATTCAGTCACTTCAAGCGAACCGCTTTAAGGGTTAAGGGTGCCAGGTGCCTACTGGGGTTAAGATTTAAGTGAAGCCATTATGGCAATAATTGCGCATACGACCCGTTGGTGCGATGCGAACATAAGGGACTGATGGGCTGAAGGGTGGCAAAAAGAAGAGCGTCGCACACAGACGCGTTTGCCAGGTTAAATTTATACCCACAGCCAACAGGTTGCCAAAGCCATCTGTTTTCGGTTTCAATGTGTGCACACTCACGGACACACACACACAAACACACCACACACACTCCCAAAGGCAGACACCTCTGGCCATTTGATGCTCGTTTGGCTGCGTCCCACTCATAAACAAGCCACTCATTTACAGCCAATGCCCACGGGCTTAATCCCCTTCCCCACAACAAAAAAAACTCTCCCTATTTCCCCAATTCAAGGCGTGAAATTGGCATGCAAATTTTATGATTTTTAGCTCAATTGTGAACAATTTAATAAAAACAAAACGTACACAATTTAAAAATTAAAATTACAAATCCAACTATACAAACGCTTGCAGGTAAATTATAAAAATACTGTTCAAACAGAACACACACAAAACACACCACACACACTCCCAAAGGCAGACACCTCTGGCCATTTGATGCTCGTTTGGCTGCGTCCCACTCATAAACAAGCCACTCATTTACAGCCAATGCCCACGGGCTTAATCCCTTCCCCACAACAAAAAAACTCTCCCTATTTCCCCAATTCAAGGCGTGAAATTGGCATGCAAATTTTATGATTTTTAGCTCAATTGTGAACAATTTAATAAAAACAAAACGTACACAAAGAAAAGCAAAGAGTGCTAACAATAACGAATTTAAACATTTTATAGTTTTTTTTACACTTTTAAAACACTTTTTCCATTTTTACAATATTAACTTAATATTATTCATAAGTTAAAGTTTAAGCCTTCCACTTTTAATTACTATAAAATACATATCAATTTGGTTAGCTTGAATATAATTTGTCTGTTGGAATTTGTTGGATTTTTGTGGCATCCGACTCGCCTTAAGTCCCTTCCGTACGAAACCGGAAATGAATCACGTCGCACAAAAACTGAAAATCCAAAACGGATAAAAAATAAGCGGAAAACCAGGTAAGCTGGGAAAAAATGCAAGCGGCAAACGACAGGAAGGCAAAGCAACAATTCAGCCAGAAAGGCAGTCATGGTAATCTGAATCAGAAACTCACTCAAAAGGCCGAAACCGAAATGAAACTCACTCGAGCAGCCGAACGAAACCGAAAGGAGGCTCGAACGGCGAGTCCTTTGGCGGAGTTGCTTCAGTCCGTCCTCGGCTTTCGAGCGTTACAGTCGCGAGTTCGGATCAAAAGGACACTGGGCGAGTGAAGAGCGCTTAAAGTGGTACCAACAACACCAAGCCCCAATATTATAGCCAATGCTAGAAAGTGTTAGTGTTGTTTTCGCTTGATTTTAGCCAAGTCAGAAGGCACAAGCAGTGTTGTGTAATCCCGTGGAGTTTATTGCTCGATTTAACCGTCATTGAACCATTATTTCTTTATTTAATTTGTTGATTTGATGTGACACACTTTGTTATTTCTGTGTTAGTGTTTTGTTAGCTGACTTGGCTTAATGGCCTTGATGTCGCCGCCGAGTCCGAGTGGCACGCCTACGGCGCTTACGCCCTCCTCCAAACGCTCGACGCCAATTAAAATGTTTGCTCTTTGATGTTTCCTTTGCAGAAGAGGACGAAACCAAATGCCAGCGAAATCAGAATCTGATTCAGAAATCATAATCAAAATCGAATGCGCTGAAAAACGCCAATGAACAGCAGTAATAAGAGTCCAAATCGTAAGCGAAAGGCGAACAAAGTTTGTAGCATACTTTTTTGGGTTTACGTCATGTTTGTCTACGCGAACCGCCATTTGTGCTTGTGTGCCTGACTTCGCACACAAACACACACACACCATTATGTCGCCTGTGTTCGTGCCTGTGTCTGTGCCTGTGTTTGTGTTTGCATTCGTGTCTGTGAGCCAGAATGCATGCCAATCAGATTCCTGAATCCTGAGTCCTGAATCATCGACTGTCCAAACACCGTGCATTGCTTTTGTCCGCCTGGGCTAATTAGCTGCAGGCAGCAGGTCCTTGTGCCGTTTTACGTAAGTGTCCTCCCTCATCCACGTGCATCTGCTCATAAGAACCCAATTAATTTTAAATACCACACACCGCCCCAACTAAGTGCCTTGCATTGTCTGTGTGCCGCATTTCTGCGAAATAGAGCCATATGTTCGTGCATATCCCTACATGTCCTTTCGAACCCACTTCATTTCCACCACTCGAATACAATTTTCGACACTCGAGCTTAATTGAGGAATGCTGTCTTGAAGTGCATGCACTTTTGTTCAGTTTAGTAGAGGCTTGAGTGCATTTATTATCGTTTGCGCTTTAGCTTCATTTCTATCTTATCTGTACAAAATTGAAGATTTGTTTAAAGCGGAATACAATTAAAATATTTAAATAATAATTCAAAGAACCAGTAACATGTATTATAAAATAATTATTATCCAAAAATCGCGATGTTAATTTCTTTTACAACGGATGCTTAAATTCCCACATTCGAGCTTAATTCGGATATATTTAATTCAAATTCAAGCCTTTTTATCTATTTCCTTGAACTCGGCTAGGTGGAAGTTGAATTATAAATTGAATGCCTGCTGTAAGACTGTAATTTCCCTCACCTGTATATAAGCATGAATATTCAAACGATTTCCGCTCGCATTTACCCCGATATCCCCAACATCTCGATTTCGATTTCGATTTGGCCTTTTCCGCTTCCTGTCAATCTGCAAGCAATGGAAGCGACATTAGCGCTCCACTCTAGAGAACTTTATAAATAAATGGAAATTACGTGTGGGAGGGCGAGCGGCCCTCTGACGATGGCATTTCCATGTCCTGCATGTCCTTCGGCCCCTCTCCGAGCGAGGGATTACTCATACGTCGTTTAATATGAAAATATAATTCGCTTTTTGTTGTGCCATGTCGTCTGTCCCCCGGACTTTGCCGCCGTGCGTGTGGCCAAGAGATATGGATACGCGTGGTGTCCCCCCAACCAGGTCCTGCTCCGTTCCACGCCACAGGGCACAAGGACCGCAATCAGCTAAGCAAACGCGTCAACTGCATGCACTTCCACCGGCGGAGCGACAAGCTCTTAATAGAACAAGGAGATCTGCGGAGTGAGCCCTCACCGATGTGGTCAATGCCCTGAAAGTATAATGGAAAATTTTCATAAAATTTGTAAATTGCTTGTCAAGTGGCAGAGACTGAGTAAATGTGTTTCCACAGAAAGAACGTATAAATTCCTAAATTAAACATGGGATAAATGTGCGTATATATACAGGAATTTTGTATTAATTAAATCGTCTTGTTGCTGCTGTCACACAAAAATATTTGCACGAATAATTAAATTTGTCATCAGTTAGAAATGTGATGTGTATACAACGAAAAACATATATAACATATACACTGGCAAAGAGTTACCAAAGCGTAAGCCCCTTTTTATCCTGTTCTTTGGCGCAGACTTAATTAGTGATGCAGTCCTTTGAAGAGTATCTCAAAAAGCCGAGTGCAGAAGCTGACAAGCGTGTTAATTTGCATAGTTTGCGACGGATTCCGAGAACAGATGACACATGAGCAGCACACAGCACACAGTGATGTATGCACTCATACTCGCATGTTATCCTCTCAGGTCGCAAAATGTTTACCCATAGATATAACTCATCATCCGAGAGTTACCCAATAAATGTTGATATTCGATTGCCGGAAGCTTAGTCCGTGTCGGAGATGTGTTCGTCGAATGGTGATAACTCTGATTGGGAATCTCAGCATGTTCAGGTTGAACATTTCCACGTTTCCACCGCGGGAAGGGAGGCGGGAATTCCGAGCAGGTGAAATGACTACAATGCAATCCCCTCGCACCTGCACATCGATCTATCGGGGGAAAAGCAGTGCCAATCTGACGGGCATGTCACTTTGCCACCTACCATCTGCCTCGCCCGCTTCTGGCTGAAAGTTTTCCAGGGAAAAGGGAAAATCGAAGCGTTTGACATGTGACCAACATGTCAGGGGAGTTGCTGTGTGTGTGCGCCTTTTTTCTTTATTTTTCTAAGGGCGTGCGGAAGGTATGAACTGAATGCAACCCGGCAGCCAGGTGGAAAACCATCTCAGACAGCGAGCCAAGAATTTTCCAGATACGCCACACTGACTCAAAGTCATTCTTCTATATCGGAAAATAATTGCCATTTTTATTGCACTGAACAGAATTTACAATAAACAGCTTAAAATATCCAATTCAGTGAAAAATAATATGAAAGTAATATAAAACAGTTCTAAAATCAAAATAGCATCTGAACTATAAGCAAAACCTTTTATTGTTCTTATGAGATTGCTCACTTCAGCTTATGATTCTAAGCTTTCTTTTGAGACTTTCCCTCTGTGCATTTCGCAACTTTCTGCATTGTGCGGGGGCTTTGGAAAAGGAAAAACCTCTGGGGAAGAAAAGGGATCTTTGTATGGGGACTAGCATATAGCATATAGCTATCGGCAATGCTGAATGTCTGCGGGAGTGTGAGGCCTGCATTGTGGCGCCATGCGCGAGGTCCTAGGACCGAGGACCAAGAACGGTGGACTCGGATCCTAGGACTGAGGACTGTGGACTGGCACTGTTTGCTGACGGTCTCGGCCTCCTTTGTCAGCTATTGTTTGACTCGCCGGCCTTGTGCTCCATTTCACACAGTCGAGTGCACGTCACAATATTTTATAGTTATGGTGTGTTTCCCTTTGCCGCTGGTGTTTATTGTTCACTGTCATAAGTTGACTTTGTTTGGCAAAGTGTTGTCTGGCTTTATACGGGCGCTATAAATAAATTAGCCACAAATCACTCTGTTTAAATGTGGCTACGAGTCACTGTCACTGTGTGTGTTTGTGTGTTCCCAACTAAAGGCAGCATAAACCATCATTTCATGCTGGCAACTTTTGATTTATTGCACAACGTTGTTATATGACATGAAAACAGTAACACAGTCACAAAGAACCGAAAACATGGCCAGTAATTGCTGTCAGCGGGGGCTTTTTCGTGGGTGGTGTCTTAGGCCATGGCCAAGTCAAAAAAGTATGCCTGCTCCTCCACTCATTCATTCTTCCCGGCTTTTTAAGTCGACTTTTTCTTAGAATGTATACGTATTAAAATTTTGGCAAGACATGCGACATTCTGAGCCTTAATTTGAGAGCACTCGCTGATAATAATAACAATGTTGAACTTTTCATTATGCAAAGTGGCATTAATAATTCCGGCAAGAAGCAGAAAGCGAACCAACAGGAGCAACCAAAGATAAAGACGTTAATATATACGTATGCCCGAATATCAATTTGCCATATCAAATTATGGCCACTCGGCGGTGTGAGAAAGTTCTTATTGAGGCCAAAGAAATCTAATTTGCCAGAGGAATTCTTAAGGACATAAAATTATTTAAGGCTGTTTCTCCAGAAACCAGGCACTGAAATACCCTTCAATTTATTAACAAACATAATTTTCTTAAAAACATGTTAATACTAAGAAAACTTAAAAGAATCTTAAAGTATTCCAAAACTTTCATGAAAATACAATACATTAAATCAGTTAAAGAGTAGTTCATTACTGGAATACTTTATTACTGCGAACTTACTAAGCTGATTTTTCCTGGAATTTCGTACACAAGAAAAACTTTTCCTTCTCTTTTCCCACAAACCGTGAAATGGTATTTTCTTTTTGTATTTTTTTGTAAATGTTTTTCTCTTATTTTGGTTGAAAAGAAACTTTCGGGCAACGCTCAATTGAAATGCGCATTTGGAAAATTGGCAAAAACAAGTGCCTGAAATTCAATATGATATATATATATATATATATACGAGAGTTCGTGGAAAACAGAGGGAAAGTTTCCGTTTGCCAGCCGGCTTGAAAAATGAGCACAAACAATTCCTGACCTGCGTGGCGATATTGGCCGACCAAGGGCTCCCAGGACTTGATAAATGGCCTGATTTGACTTTTGACTCGCAAACACAAACACAGGGACGCTCGCACACAGATACTCACACCCACTTGGGGACAAACAAACACTCACACACACACACACTCTCGAACAGTTGGTTATCTTAAATGCTACAAGTGCTTTGGCAACTGATTGAAAATACTGCCCGCCTGCCAATTGATTGTCTCGGGCTTGTACTTCACGCTCTCCGCTCCATTTCCCCCGTGCCATTCGAACATACTGAATAATGCAGCCGGCCAAATAACAAATGTACACGCATATACGTACTCGTAAAGCAATCGCGTATACGCCCTGTTGACGGGCAAATAAGCACAATTGCCACGGCAATGGCTTAAATATTTAATTAAATTTCCTTTGGCTTTCGTGCGGAATGAGCTAATTGTTGCAAATGGTGTGTTGTTCAAAATTAAATTATTTCCAACGGAGATTAATGGGTTTTCATAATAGTCGTTTAAACATATGCTCCCATAACTTAATTTACGTTTTCAAAAATCTTCCACTGGTAATCTCTCGGGACCGCAGAGAAATGGGTTAATAACTGACCGAATTAAGCTTTTTTATTTGGGCACAACAATCCGCAGCAATCTCTGATGGGAGTTCAATTATGGTTTTTCATACGGGCAGTCCATCGATTTGTTCTGCCCCGAAAACCGCAACTCTTGGCTGGCCATTAAATAATTAAAGCTTGACGTCAATGCAGTCCTCACGCACACTTTCATGGGGAAGTCTTATAGAGGACATGGTGACCCCTGGGACATGCAAGCGTTTCGCTGATGTTTCCACATGATTTGGTGCAAAACGACAAACAGAGAAAGAAAACCGAACCGAAAGAAATAAAGGTGACTTAATGACACACGCATCAGGCGAACCCATCCGAAGGACCTGCCCCATTTGACTTGGGAATATCGCAATTTTCGAAATGCAGTCGAGTGCACGCAAATGTCAGGGTGAGCTGTCAGGACATGACTTCGAGTTATGACTGGCGCCTCAACAAGTTGAGGAATTATGCAAATTTATTCAGCCCACGGAGCCGTGTTTAATTGTTGTCTCGACGGCGAGAGGGAAACTTTCAATTG